AGGATGAGAAATGGTCAGCGGCACCACTATGGTCACCACTATGGGAAAACGCTTTCAACCTCAATCTCTTATCAAAACAAACCAAATTTGAAATTCTTTTTGCAGGCAAGGTGGAACACGTCCGCCGGTGGTACCCCCGGTGCAGGTCATTCAGGGTGGTTCGATAAGCAGCAACGAGGGCAACGACTCCACCGCGGACTCGATGAAGAACGATGCGGACATTAATTTTCAGCGTGTGTCCATATCGGGTGAGGATACCAGCGGTGTGCCGCTGGAGGATCTGGAGCGGGCCTCCACACTATTGATCGAGGCACTGCGCCTGCGCAGCCACTACATGGCCATGTCCGATCAGTCCTTCCCCTCGACAACGGCACGTTTTCTCAAGACGGTGCGCCTCAAGGATCGCATCGACAATGTGCCCGTAAAGGCGGTGTCGGGTAAGTCGAGCTCTCAATTCTCCCCCAAAAGGAATGAATCCCAAGAAGGAGGTTCCCAGGTTCAGTCTTTCTCCTTTGTACAGTGAGGCACCGAGGCGCAGAAAGTGTTTATCCACATACATATGTATAAGAAAAATGTTGTATAGCTACTCGTACTATTTCAGTGTTGTGATGCACCCAATCGCCATCCAATCAATCAATCAATTTTCCAGCTGTTGTGGAATCTGTATAATACAAGCCCATGATGTTGTATGTTTTGTTTCGACTGTACATTACGCGACCGGGGGGGCTACTGCTGCCTCCAGAAAACCCTGCTGCATTTCTTTACTGCCTGCTAGCCTCAGCCGCCCCGCCCCGCCCGCTCTCTTGTCTTGTGTGTGTTTTGTCCTCCATTTCAGTTAGAAAGTTTATTTCCCCCAGCCCCTCCCTCCCCATCAATCGCATATGTATGTATGTACATATATGTATGTTTTGGATGCCTCTTTATCGTTGATTTCTTTTCATTTTGATTTCTTTCGTATCGACTATTTATTTCTCTCTCTATATATTTTTCATTATTTCTTATAGACATCATACGCAATATGAGTGTAACGTGCAGACCAGGTAATGCGTGCGCACCGCCCCCGCACCCCCTACCCCATCACACACTTAACCAACGTTACCCCCTGTTACCCCTTACCCGTTACCGTTCCCGTTACTGTTTCTGTTTCTCTTTAGTTTGCTTTGCTCTTGCAATATTTTGTTCTCGCTTTCGTAGACCTAAACTGCAAATCTTAACTGTTAACTGTGCTGCTACTGTCTCGCTCACTCCAGCTTCAGCTCCAGCTTCAGCTCCAGCTCCAGCCCAAAGCTAACACAAAGCAGCGAGCTTTTCGTCAGACAAGCACACGCACACACACACACACACACACACACTAGCCGCCACTCCACTTGCATGGGAGAGGAGACATTCTCTCCCATTAAATGATGAGTACCCAGGGCCGGATGAACCCTCCACGGGGCCCTAGGCATTCTTTTTTCAATGAAAATAAAAACTTATAGTTTTTATAGAGTAAGAGCAAAAGCTTTCTTTCGCACATACACTCACACTTTGCTCTGTTGTCTCGCTGGCTCGCTCGCTCGCTCTTCCGCTTCTTCTCTCTCGCTAGCTCGCTCGCTGTCTTCTCTCAGTTGATTGACTCTCCGCCGCCGAACCATCGAAAAGCCTTGTACAAAAGGAAAGACCACCCACACCACCGCTCAACGTTGATTACTTTCGTAGAACCCTAGACGCTAGATACTAGACACTTACTTACACATCATACAGAATCCGCACGTATCCGTTTGTGTGTGTCTGTAGATTCTAGTGATAACTAATACATACATACATATACCACCTGCCACAATATGCCCAATGAACGCCTCTGCAACTAAATGAAACTCTATTTTCAAATGGGAAACAACCACCACACACACACACGCGTGCGCAAACACACACAACAAACGCATCAATCAGATCTCCATGTGAAGACGTCGCAGCCGAAGGTAACGAATCCGTGGAACGTGGAGTTTCCGCCAGACGAGACCTATGTGATCAAGCCCCTCAATGGCGTCTTTCATGTGTACGAGGATGAGGTAAGAGATCCCTCAAAGAGATACCCAAACTGCGAACCTAAACGAAACTCGTCTCGTCTGATTTTCAGGAGCAAACGAAGGAGCTCAAGTTTGTGTATCCGGACATGAGCCAGTTCGTCAACGACATGCAGGTCATGTGCAATATGATTGCCGATGGGCCGCTGTAAGTACCGATTGCCGATTGCCGATTGCAAATTGATCCATAATCGATCTTCGTTTAAACATTCGTTTCGATAGGAAATCATTTTGCTATCGCCGCCTTTGCTATTTGTCGTCCAAGTATCAGATGCATGTGCTGCTGAACGAACTGCGTGAGCTGGCCGCTCAGAAGGCGGTGCCCCATCGGGACTTTTACAACACACGGAAGGTGGATACCCACATACATGCCGCCTCCTGCATGAACCAGAAGCACCTGCTGCGTTTCATCAAGAAGACGCTGAAGAACAGCGCCAATGAGGTGGTTACCTGCACCAATGGCCAACCCATGACGCTGGCCCAGGTGTTCCAATCAATGAATCTGACCACATACGATCTAACTGTCGATATGCTAGACGTGCATGCCGATCGCAATACGTTCCATCGCTTCGACAAGTTCAATTCAAAGTACAATCCCATTGGCGAGTCACGTTTGAGGGAGGTGTTCCTCAAGACCGATAACTTCTTGAATGGCAAATACTTTGCACAAATTATAAAGGTATGTCCAGTATACCTACCTACCGGTTTTGTTATAATTGGTTTGATTTTTGTTTGTCTCCTCCTTTTGCACTTAGGAAGTGGCATTCGATCTGGAAGAGTCCAAATATCAGAATGCGGAGCTACGTCTCTCGATCTACGGCAAGTCGCCGGATGAGTGGAACAAGCTGGCCAAGTGGGCCATCGACAATGATGTGTACAGCTCGAACATACGCTGGCTGATCCAGATACCACGTCTGTTTGACATCTTCAAGTCGAACAAAATGATGAAGTCATTCCAGGAGATATTGAACAACATATTCCTGCCGCTCTTCCAGGCCACAAATAAGCCCAGCGAGCATCCCGATTTGCATCGCTTCCTTCAGTATGTGATTGGCTTCGACTCGGTGGATGATGAGTCCAAGCCCGAGAATCCACTCTTCGACAACGATGTGCCGCGGCCCGAGGAATGGACATACGAGGAGAATCCTCCCTACGCCTACTATATCTACTACATGTATGCCAATATGACGGTGCTGAATAAGTTTAGACAGTGAGTAGAGATACGAGATGCCCTAGGCGTTCAGGGCGTGCAATGTTAATCTTTCCTTTTGCTTTGCAGAACACGCGGCATGAACACCTTTGTGCTGCGTCCCCATTGCGGTGAGGCTGGACCCGTTCAGCATTTGGTCTGTGGCTTCCTCATGGCCGAGAACATCTCCCATGGCCTGCTGCTGCGCAAGGTGCCCGTACTGCAGTATCTGTACTATCTGACACAGATTGGCATTGCCATGTCGCCACTGTCGAACAATTCGCTGTTCCTCAATTATCATCGCAATCCGTTGCCGGAATACTTGGCCCGCGGCCTGATCATCTCCCTCTCGACGGACGATCCCTTGCAGTTTCACTTTACCAAGGTAAGAGATAAAACAACGCCGCATCGAAGAAAAACCTCTCTAACCCCTTGCGGACCACTAGGAACCCCTCATGGAGGAGTACAGCATTGCGGCTCAGGTGTGGAAGCTCAGCTCCTGCGACATGTGCGAGCTGGCCAGAAACAGTGTCATGATGAGTGGATTTACCCACAATGTGAGTGCTGCCTGCCCATACGCATACGCTGCTGCTTGATCCAAATAAAAAACTCTTTCGACTGTATTTCAGACCAAACAACAATGGCTGGGACCGCACTACTACGAGGATGGCATTATGGGCAACGACATAACGCGCACCAATGTCCCCGAAATTCGTGTCGCCTATCGCTACGAGACCCTGCTGGATGAGCTCTCAAATATATTCAAGGTGAACCAGACCTGCGGATCAGTCAGTGAGCATTCGTAGGCCGTGTGCATGCACCGCCCCACCCCCAAAATAGCTGCTCCCATATACATATATATATACAGATTTAAATAGAATATATTCAACAAATATATTTCATAATAATTAAAAAATTATATTTCATTTCTGTACTAATCAAATTGTAAGCGCGGCAGACCAAAATTTCAAAATATATAAAATATACCCTTTACTTGGCTAATCCATATTTATAGCTAATCTATTCAAAATACGAACATTGATCAACAATATTGTTTTTTATTATGCAGAAATGGAAAGGCAACGGGTCTGAGGCTGTAGGGAAATGTTCTCAATGATTCTCATGCTTGGGAATGAGCGAAAATATATCAGATGCAATCAAGCTCAAAGCAATTGCGAGTATAAATGAAAAAGAAATTTCGAGGCAGAAAAAGAAGCCAAGAAAATGTTCACCTGAAGTACAGAATAACGGAGCAATCAACAATCCATGACGGATAAGAAAGTTGGTTATTGGTTCATAATTGATATGGGGTGATCTGCTCGCTGCTCCAGAAAACGCGAGTGTGAGTAATATTGAAAAAAAATAATTTTTAAAATTGTGAATCGGTCTATCCCACCCACCACTAAAATTGGTTTTGTTGGCTCCCAAAGGCCATGCCTTCCTTTCTTTTGTGTCTTATATGCTTCGTTGAATAAGCTTTCGACATTGATAGGCATTGGCAGAGTTTTTACTATTCACATGTTGCGAGTGTATCCATTTTTCAATATAGGGACGTACATATTTGTAACCGTACCAGCAATATCTGTGGCACCACCGCGACAAAGGACATTAATTTGTGCGATCATTTTTAAACTGTATGGCAGCTCGCTTAAAAAAGGTTTTCTGCCCATATGGCAACCTCAAAGTATATCGATGATAAGCTATATTTCTGAGTGTCAGGCGGTATTTCTTGCGTATAAATCCGCGGTCACACTGAGAGTCTTTTTTTGTTGTTTCCCACGGTCCCCCCCCGACAATTCCGACAAAGAAAATGCTGAAAATCGCTGAACAAGTGCATGAAAAATCAAATTTCTGATTGACATTCAGCCCCAAGCAGTAAGCAGAGTGGAATTTGACCGGCCAAAGCCGTTATATTCCATTTGGGGCGGCGTCGTTCACTCCCCCACCCCCCACCTGCAGAGCGTGAGTGAGAGAGAGAGAAAGAGTGAGTCCAGCGCAGCGTCAGAGCGAAGAGAGAGTGAGAGAGAGAGAGGGAGTGCGAAGGAGGAAGGGGGAAGATAATGACCACCCAGAGAACACAACGAAATGCCACCAGCGCCTCCACGGAGTCCGACTACGAAACGCTCATGCAGCGTCTACATATCGGGTCTGGTGGCGGTGGCGGTGGTGGTGGGGGCGGCATGCGTGGCTACCAACGCTCGCCGGGAGCAATCGAGAACTTCATTCACGATGGCCAGCAGCAGATGCATCACCACCACCACCAGCAGCAGCTTCAGCTACAGCAACAGCAGCAGCAGCAGCAGCAGCAGCAGCGCACGACTACAAGCTGTACGAGCGCGGCAACATCATAGCCGCCTCCAAGTACGCCACGCCCAAGCCCGTCGAGCAGCTGATCAACAATGGGGGAGGTAGCCCACAGATCTATGCGCCCACCGCACAGGTGCTGGGCCAACGGATCGCACCGCAGAAGCACTCGCCGGTGTACGAGAATCTCGAGTTCTACGGCCAGTTCGACTCGAATCACAAGCGCGCCCAGCCACAGAGCCCGGGCAGCCGGCAGAGCGCCATGCTGAACGACTATCTGCTGATGCAACCGATTGGCGGCGGACGTTTTGCCCATACGCCCGTGCCGGAGACGGTGGCGGTGACTGCGTTGGCTGCTGCCCGCGAGCCTCTGGAGGAGATGGTGGCGCCCATATACGAGAACATCATACCCCATTCGGGGCAGCGTGCCCAGCCGCAGGCCTCACCGGCCACGGCCACCATGTACCAGGAAATGCCGGGCAATGTGGCCACCGCCTCGTCATCCACGGGCCTGGATCTCAACGCGCTGCTCTCGTCGCCCATGCACCAGCGCAGCATAAGCACAAATAACGCGCAACATGCCACTGGCACTGGCACTGGCACGCTGGGCTCGCCGACCCAACGGTATAGGAATCTGTCGCTGCCCAGCCACTTGAGTCCCGTGCCGCCGCCCTCGTCCTCGTCGCCGTCCCCCCTGCCGATGTCCGTGTCCAAGCTGCAGCAGCACACGCCCATCAAGCAGCACATGCCGCCACCACCAGCCCCACAGGCGCCGGCTGGGGGTCATGGCGTTGGCATCAATGTGTCGGTGAATCCCAACTACATTGAGGACATCAACAGCTCCGATTATGTGTGCATGACGGCAAATCTGCATCGCAATACATTGGCTGGATGCGGCGGCGGCGGCGGTGGTGGCGGCAGCGGCGTGGTGACTGGCAGAGCAGCACCGCTGGCAACAGCAGGCGCAATGCCACAACGAGCCGTCCAGGAGACACCGACAGCAGCGTCGTCAGCGACAGCAATACAATCGCTGCGTGCCACACCCATCGCGATGTCGGCACCCCTGGCGGTGGCCACATCGCCCACGCCCTCGCAGGGCAGCACAGGTATGGCATCGAAACTCCCCTCCCCTCGCCACACCCCGCGCTAGCATATATCCCTCCCACGTAACAGACTAATATCCTTTGAATTCTTTGCCCCCATTACTAAATGCTTGCCACACGCAGCGGTCAATGCCGCGTTGCGACCCAGAAAAGGTAGGAGAGAAGAGGAGTCTCTGGGGGTTTGGGTTTTGGGTTGGCAGTCTGCTTTAGCTCGTGCTTCAGCTCAACCGATTCAACACAATTCCTCAGGAATTCGATTGGTTGAGCAAAAGACGCGCCACGAGACAGACAGAGAGCGAGAGAGAGAGACAGAGAGAGTGAAGCGAAAACCAAAAACTAATACTTGAATTTAATATGCAGGTCTAACCAAGAATCTGCTGCCGTATAGCGTGACACCGCCGCGTCCGGCTGGTCCGACAGAGGCGCAGCGTAAAATCGAGGAGCTCACACGCCAGCTGGAGGAGGAGATTGAGCAGAGTGAAGAGCATGGCGAATATTTTGGTGAGTTTATTGCCAGAAATATATTTAAAGTCCATCAATTAATCTCTCTTTCCCCTGTAGGCATTTGTCACACGTGCGGAGAGAAGGTAAAGGGTGCCGGTCAGGCCTGCCAGGCCATGGGCAATCTTTATCACACCAATTGCTTCATTTGCTGCTCCTGCGGCCGGGCGCTGCGTGGCAAGGCCTTCTACAATGTGCATGGACGTGTCTACTGCGAGGAGGATTACATGGTAGGGCAGCCTCCCACATCACTCAGCTTCCCCAGACTCCGCACTAACTCCAACCTTTTTTACAGTATTCGGGCTTCCAGCAGACGGCGGAAAAGTGCGCCATTTGTGGACATTTGATTATGGAAATGGTTTGTATATGCTGCCTACCCACACCTCTCTCTGGCCCACTCATATCTTGCATGTGCTCTTTGTAGATCCTGCAGGCCATGGGCAAGTCGTATCATCCGGGCTGCTTCCGTTGCTGCGTCTGCAACGAGTGCCTGGACGGTGTGCCCTTCACCGTGGATGTGGATCATAAGATATATTGTGTCAACGATTATCATCGCATGTTTGCCCCCAAATGCGCTAGCTGTGGCAAGGGTAAGACTCTCTCTCTCCCCTTTAAGAGCGCTGCTCCTCCTCATACTCCTCTTTCTGTTTCTATTCTATTTGCCAGGCATCACACCCGTTGAGGGCACTGATGAGACCGTACGCGTGGTGTCCATGGACAAGGATTTCCATGTGGACTGCTACATATGCGAGGAGTGTGGCATGCAGCTGACAGACGAGCCGGATAAGCGCTGCTATCCGTTGGACGGGCGTCTGCTGTGCCGTGGCTGTCATCTGCAGCGGCTGGCACTGCAATCATCACCGCACACACGCCACCAGGAGCCAGTGTGTGCCTCCTATCAGTATATGGGCTGAAGTTAAGCACTGCCCTGTCTCCTCCTACTGCGCATGCGCATCCAACTACTGACTGAGAGAGCGAACAAATTATTCCAATTTCAAAATATTATCTTAAACAATATGAGAAGACAAAAACAAATGCATTTATACGACGAAAGGTTCATTCTTTACTTTGCTTCTGTATCCTGTTAATGCATGAGAATCTCCAGCTGAACGAGACGCTTATTGGTGGCCGTGGGCATGCGATAGGGCACCGTGGCCGCCATATTTGTGAGCGCCTTGGCCTTGGTACGCAAATGGCGGAGGGAGCCCTCCCTGTTGACACCCTTCCAGTCATCCGTTTGGGTGCTGTCGCGGCTGCCAAAGGAGGATCGGCTGCCACTGCCACCCTTGAGCTTCACATACTCCTCGTAGACGAGATCCATGGCGGCCAGCAGTATGTCGGGCAGCACTTTGGCCACCTCCGGGCCGAGCCGCTTCAGATTGGCCACACACTCGTCCACCTCCGAGCAGTTGTTGGGCGTAATGCGATAATTGGCCAGCAGCTCGGTGGCCAGCTGCGAGTCCTTGTTGTGGTAATGATCGAAGAAGATGAGCAGCTGCGTCAGCATTGAGTATGTGGCCAGGACATGCGGCTCCACATCCACACGCATCACCGAACGCATCTCGTCCAGCTGATCGATAATCTGGCACAAGCGATTCCGCATGCTCGACTCAGCGGGCGGCTGATGCACCACCTGCGACAGCAGCGAGCACACCAAACGCATCACCTTGTCCAGCTGGCCGCCAATGAAGTACAGCTTGATGGCTGTCTCGAAGTTGCTGCGATGGGCCAGCTCATCGCCCACCATGCCAGCCAGCATATACTTGTCGAAGTCCATCGTATGAAACTGGGCAAAGATGCCGCTGCAACGAAAGCAAAAATCAAATGGTACCCAGAAGGATGCTGTGCCGTGTGCCGTGTGTCGCGCCGTGCCACTTACCTCTGGTTGGACTCGTCTGCTTCGTGGCCAAAGATCAGCTCAATCATTTCCTGGTCACAGTTCTCGACAAGCAAATCGCTGACACAGCTGAGCATCAGGCTGGTGCCATTGTCGTCCTTGAAGTGGCGCAACAGAAAGTAATACTGCATCGCCTCCGTGGTGTTGGTCAGCTCAAAGCACTTGGCATAGGTCACCAGCATGCGCACCAAATTGAGGCGCTTCATGGGCGCCGGATCCTTGGGATTAGCACTCAGCAGCGGCTGATGTATGGAGCTGGGTGTGCCCAGCATGTGTATCTCGTTCAGGGCAATGGCCATGTGCACGGCATGCGGACGATTTGCTTCGGTGCGGGCCAGAAACTCGATGGCCGACTCAAATTGGCCCGTCAGGACGAGCACGGTGAAGTAGAGCGGCACCTTTTCGCGTGCATTGAAGTAATTCTCGCCGTACTTCTCCAGAATGAGCCGCTGCAGGCCGCTGTAGGTGAGCTGTTCGATGTTGTACTCGCGATCGTCGTCCTGCCGCAAAATGGAGAGCTGCATCCACAGGAAGTCATCGATGCTGCGCATCAGTTCCGGATGCGAATTCTGTGGATCGCATGCCAGCACATAGGCATACACCTATAGATATGCCCAAGAAAGGAAGGAGGAAGTTAGGGAAAAGATGGTACAAAGCTCATGGCATTGAATGGATACGGAGAGAGACCTACCGCCTTCTTGTAGGGATCGGTGCAGCAGCGCAATTTACTGTTGTACTCCAGCTTGAGGACACCCTCGAGCCGGGCATACGGATCACCCTTGATGCCCTCCTTCATCATGGCCAGCAGACGGTACAGATCCTGGCAGACGCCAACTTCATGCAGAAATTTACAGGCCGCACCCAGATCGCCGCAACGCAGACTGTAATAGACGAGCGCCCACAGCGGACGGTTGTTGTTGACATCCAGCAGGCCGACCAGACTGGACGGCACCACGAAAGTGATGCCCACAAATGCGTTGACCATGCTATAGGCGCTGGGTATGCCGCCGCGCTTCGCCAGCACACGATTCTCATTGATGACGGTGTTCATGTACTGCCTGTAGCGTCGCTCCAGATAGGCGCGTGCCTGCTGGACAAACTGCTGGCTGGACAGGCGCGACGTCAAGGGATCTATGGTGCGTGAGGTCGTCACATTGTCGACCATGAACTGCAGCACGCTCCACATTTCAGCGATAAGCAGATCATGGAAGTTATCCGACGCCAGCTGGGTGAACGCTGCCAGCAGGTTGGTGCGATGCCCCCGCTGGATTTTTGACTGATTGTACGCAATTATCTGCTGGGCATACAGCTCCTCGGTGCGATTGAGCAGGGAACGTGGCGTTGGATTTTCGGCCAGAATTGTGGACACAGTCTGACGCTGAACATCGGGAAATTCATCTTGTTTGGGCCCAACCAGGGCATTCAGCAGAGATCTTTTCTCCACGCCCCACTCGGCGTAGATGCGGCGCCACTTTTGCCGTTCCACCGACTCGAAAATCTGCAATATGTAATTGTCAGCCATGGCGACATGTGAAACATTCTCAAATTGATTACCCCACGATTGGTCTCATCGATCACCGACAGTATGGCGTTCTCGCGCTCGTTCTTCAGAAAGGCACGCACATCGGTGTCCGAGACGGGGTCCAGAGGCTCGAATGTCTTGCGCGCGCTCAGCGACTCGAGCTTTTGCGTCAGCTTTGGCAGATCCACGCCCTTGGAGCCGAGCAGCATGTGCCTGGGGTTGTTGGGTATAGGAAAATTTAGTTTGCCATTGAATACCAGTCGTGTGATTCTTACGCTTGCAGATCGCGTGTTCCTTTGAGGGTCACACGGGAGTGAAGTTCCTGTGTGGCCTGCAATACTTGTGAAATGGTGCGATCGACGCGCGGCATTTCGTCGTCCATTTTGGTGTCATTTGTGAGGCGCTGGGCCTGCCGCAAAAGGTCACCTAGCTCCATGTTCTTATGCTCTTTAGATTCGAACAAATACAATTAACATAAAATGCAAAAAAGGCGGCGTGAGCCGGCAGTGGGAATAGCTAATAGCGATGGCAGCTGGTGCCAAAATCAGAGCTGTATTTACGCGGCAACTGAAATTTTGTATGGTTTTGGGAATGACTATCGATAGTGATTCTGTATATATCCGAAACAGTTTTAATTAAATTGTTTGGCTGTCGATTGGCATATTTATATAAATATATATTCACTAGTTACAAAACGGTTGCTTGTGCCACTAAGCAGCATATAGAGATCTTCATACATGAGGCAGCTGTATTTTGGCCGTTTTTCACTTTGTGATCTTGTGTATCAGATGCGTAAATTCATAATATCCAAAGCTCAAAGCTCATTAAATTAATCGACTTTTGCTGGACTTCTGTTGGTACATTTGCACTGCATGAACTGAACCACAAAAAATATCACCCACCAAACATATATATCGATATTTTGATTATCTATATTTAACATCTCTAGCAGAGAGTGGCTCCGTTTTTCGATAGACTATAGAGTATCGATAGAGAACGTAGTTTCGAAGTGCGCACCATATCAATATATATATTTTTTTTGACTGCGTTTATACACAAGTGCGAGATAATTTACAGCAATCATAGATATTTTGCTGAAGTGACTGTGTCTGTTTCCCCCATTCTGTGATTGTGTGTCTCTGTGTACATATATTAGCAAATAAATAAAAATTAGCACAACAAAAGCTGAAAAGGAAAACACACACCACACACACACGTACGCACCCCGTCACGCGGATAAACCTTTCCACAAAACGCTGTAAGCGAAGAGAAGAATTAAGAAGCGAACCATGTCCGCCGCCGACGTTGAGACGCAGCCGCAGCAGGAGACGACAAACGGCAGCAGCAAATTCGATGTTCCCGAGATAGAACTGATCATCAAGGTGCGTTTTCTTCTGCTCATATTTACTTTCATATGCACATAAATGCACACATGTGTGTGCATGTATTTAGCTGGGTTTTCATTTAAATTTGCAAAAAAAAAAAGTCAAAAAAATTTCCATGCCACAAAGTGAAAATGCAGCGCTGTCAGGCGTCAGCAATAGCAGCAGCGTCGGCAGCGCGAATGCAAAAGCAAACAAAGACAAAATGAACGGTGTATCAAGGTGTTTTTGAATGAGGTGTGATGGAAATCTCGCCCCCCGCTCTGCCAAGTACATACATATGTTTATGCCCAAATGTGGCTCGCTGTCCTTTTGGGGTACGCTGCTGACTGAAACAATTCAATGCAAAATGGGTAAACTATTGTAAGAGTGCTCTTTGGCAATGCGTCACTTTGAATAAATACACCTTGAAACTGCTGTTTCTGGCCACTACTGTTTCTCCCTCTGCTCTGCTCTTCTGCTTCTTCATCTTCTATGGGTTTGAGTGTTTGTTTGTGGTGTGTGTGTGTGTGTGTGTGTCACATGAAACAGAATTGTATATTCATTATGTCCATTTCATTTCTTCTTTTGGGTTTTATTTGCCTTTTGCCAGAGTCAGCAGCGCGCCCAGACCCAGACCCAGAGCTTCTCCCCCTTTATCATCAGCCATCTCTTGCACGCCCCCCCCTTTTGTATGAGTGTTGTTTTTTTTTTTGTGGTTTCTAAGCATCGCCAAAACCGGTTTCCTTCTCTCCCTATCATCGGCACTCACACACACACACATACACCATGGCCTTTCCTGTGGAGATGTGTATACGCGTGTGTAAGTGTGGAAGTCTGCAACTGTGGATCGTAACGTATTTCTGTGCGGTTCTATTCTTATCTGCCTTCTTCCAAAACTCTTAATCATACTTCCCATTTGCGCCAATTGCTCAACTCATTGCTGACACAAGACCCAAAGACGGTTCTGGATTCTCCAACCACTTGGAACAGGAGGTTCTGTTTTTATCTTTGACTGATTTCTAAATTTCTTGGGGGCATACGTCATGCCCTCATGGGGCCCATGGGGCTCGTATTATTTGCCAAAGTAATTTGTGGTTGTTTTCGGAACACACTTTGGCATTGTTGATTCTATTGGTAAAAGCCCTCTCTGCGGCCCGCTCCTCTTCCGCCAACCTACAACCATCCATCAGACCATCCCACGCCACAGGGCCGCACCTCTCTCTCGAAAAGTCTTATAGTGCATGACTAATTCTGCTCCATGAGGTCCGAAACCCAGCCCTAGTTCCAGTTCCAGTCCCTGCCCCAATCCAATGAGCAATAGCCCCCCCACTCCCTTTTCCTGTTGCCAGAGAAAGTGGATGCGAAGCGCGCACCTGTTGACGGTTGACTCTAGACTGGGAGGAGGCTTAGCACTTTTCCCAGCCAGCATCCGAGAAGCATCTTTGACATAACCAACACGAAAAGCGCATTGGCACATGGAAAAGCCATTTCCATTTACAGCAAAAAGCAAAAAATCAGAAAAAAATAAAAGTGAAAGTTCAATTTCAGAGCGGGAAGGAAAGCAGTGGAAGCAGCAGCACCAGCAGCACTCGGAGCTGTTGTTGGGGGTTTGGGGTGATGGTGTGTGGCATGCCTCTCTGTTCCGCGCGTGCAGGCAACAAACAAACACAAATGGTTTTGTTGTTTCCACAGAGGGACAAAGCGCGCGCAGGGGGCGCGGTAAGGGGAAAGCAGCTAACAAAACAATCATTGAACGCTAAACAGGTTTTTCTCGTGTGCAGTTTTCCGCCAAGCTCCCCTTCCCTCCCCTTTGAGGCAAAGTCTTCTCGTGCAGAGTTCGGAAATGGAGTTGGAGTCGCAGTCGGAGTCGGAGTCATCGCCCACGCGAGATCTCAAGAGATGCCCCAAATTGGCATCGAATCAAAACAAAAGAAACAGCCAACAGCAAGGGGTGGGCTAGGGGGGGTGGGCATATTTCCCTTGGCTAAACGATTCCGATTTGAAACGATCCTTTCTTATACAGTACATACATATATATTTGTATATGTATGTGAGAGTATGTTTTCACGATCCACTTAAACTAATTTAAGGCCTTTTTTTGTTGAGGGGGCGCCCCTTATAAACGCCAACAACGCCAACAATTGTCCAAGTTGAGGAAAATGCGCTTCTTTGTTGCCACTTAAAGCGAAGAGAGAAACTGAAGCTGTTGCTGTTGCATGCCATACAGCGGAGGTCAATGCAGTGGGGGTAGTGCCGAAATTAAAAACCTAACAAAAAGCATATTTAAAATGAATGAATCACAAACATTCATTCATTCTATTGTTGCTAATTTAAGACAAAATGCCATATCCAGAAACTTACTAGAACTGCACTAGAATGTTGACCACAGTTGTATGCGGTACCCAATTCAGTGTGTGTGGTGTGTGTGTTGTGTGTGTGTCCATGCTGAGTTGACAGTTGAACCAACTGATTTGTTGTCTTCTTCACGCTTCCACGTGCTGTCTGTCAGTCAATGCAGTACACACATCTATATGTAAATATGCAATGCATATGCATGTGCATGTGTGTGTGTTCGAGTGTGCAGAAAACACGCAAATATTTACCATGAATCACATTGTTTCCTCCTCATACTCCGCCTTCCCTTCGCCTTTGCTTAGTCTTAACTGTTGTTTGCTGCTGCTGCTGCTTCTCCCTCACTTCCACTTCCCACCTGGACAGATTCTGCCTTTCCTTCATAGGTTCCGCTTTACAGCCCCGCCCCGTCCCGCCACCCATTGACAGTTGATCTGTTCTATTTTGCTGCTGTGGATGGCGTGTGGATTTCATTGACAAATGGCTGTTATTGTTATACCCTTTGCGGGGAGGGTAAGCCAGGGTATGTCCATATTGCAAAGGTGTTTGTAACGCAGTGAATTAAACTTAATTAAACTTTAATTCTAAGCGAATTTGATACAAATCCAACTATTAAATCATATAAAACGATTGAGTATAAACTCTCCGCTTTCGCGGTTCCATGATTTTCTGGTGTCTGCTGTCTGCCGTCTCCCATTTACCTCTTTTGTAGTTTCGTGAATTATGTATTTATTTTGGTAAATTACTCGGACGGACGCCTTTCGTTGCTGTGGCTGGAAACCTATTAGGTCGGGCGGGGAAAAGGTCTGGAATGTGTTCTACAAATTGATTACCGCTCAAGCCTTCATAAATAAAAGTGGGGGAGGGGTGGGCGGAAAGACCCAATTAGCCCATTACCAATTCGTGGGGCGGAAGATATTTATGCAAGTGTGAAACTCACGTTTAAAGCACACCCAAAGCAAATATCAGGCATGGCATGCACACCCCCACCTTACCCGCGCCGTTCGCCCCTGGGCTCACCACTTAGTGTTGATTATATATATACAGTTTTTTTTTTGTATTATTTTGGCCATTACTTCATCACGGAGGCTTCCGCCCGTGCTTGATAAGATATCAAAATATATGTATGTGCATATGTGTGTATGCCACATGTGCTTGTATGTGGCCCAAAAAAGAATCGGTGAAATCGGTAGAATCATCGGCGTTGTGGCATATGAGGAAAAGCTCTCCTGACATGTATGTACCCCCCGCACCCCCTGTAGCCCCCCACTCCCATTCGCACTCCCATCCCCAACCCCAACCCCATCCCCATTGAGGATCGTCATCATCTGAAATCGGAATGATTGCGTTCTGCAGCTGTCGTCGAACCGGTTCCAAAAATAACGCCACGCGGAGGCAGCGGCAGACAGGCAGGGAGGGGGCGGTGGTGCCCGGTGCCCGCCAACAACTATTTAATTTCATTTTCGTTTTATTTATGATTTGTTGTTGCTGTGTTTCTGTTGTTGGCCCAAAGCTAACCAATTCCTTTTTATTTTATTTGACTTGACTTTAGTTTTTTTTATTTTTATTTTCCTGCTATGGTTGTTTTTATCTTATCGCTGCACAAATTTACAATTGAAAGGAATACAAAGCGACATTACTGCCAGCGATCAATATAATGGGAATTGTGTGCTTGAGAGCGGAGGAGACAGGGGGGACAGATACAGCGACAGCAGCGCCAGGCGACCCTATCATGCAGATTTGTTCTGCGCCCAGTTGGATGATACATTTATGCTATTTTTATTTATTTATAATAGCCGAACAGAGTAACGAGTAATCAGACCTCCAACCCTATCGTAGCAAGTTATTTTAGATAGCATTAAATATGTTGCAATTCGTGAGAAACATATACATATGTACATAGATAGCATATAGAGAGCACATAATATGGGGGGATTGGTTTTGGAAAAAAAAGAGAGAGCTTGACAGGGCATACATATATCTAGTATGCAATGGTTTAGAATGTATTACTTAATCGGATGTACAGTGTACTCCCCCTTTTTTGTTTTTAAATATCTGTTAAGTTGCTTTAAAACGGGTGATCTCGGGGAATTGTTATATTGTTTGAATTAATTACTAATAATAATAATATTAATAATATTATTAATAATATTATTATTATTACTAATAATTACTAATAATACAAAAAAGACAAAACTTAGGTGCAGAATAATATGTGTCTTAGCTGGAGCAACGTGGGCCCTTCCAAGCAGACCTAGTAATATTATTTGCAACTCAACTGTGTGTGTGTGTGTGTGTGAACCCGAACCCACATCGTAAATACATACATATGTACACATATCCATAATTTATGTATTTGCAAGTTTTTATTGCCAAGAGGTGCCCCTCCTCTGAGGGTGTGTGTGTGTGTGTGGATTTTGTTTGTGGATTTTATTAGCTAGAAGTGCCCATATATGTACATACATAAGTGTGCGTGCGTGTGTGGATGTGCATGTGAATGGCACTTGACATTTGCTAACTGCTTTTGGTGTTGTTTTTCTGTTGCCGTCTCTTCTCTGTTTCTCTCTCTCGTCATTTCTATTTTGAAAGCGTCAAATTGCAGCAGCAGCAACAGCAGCAACCCGCAAGATTGCCCGATCGACTGTCTGACTGTCTGACTGACTGACTGACCTTTGCCGTTGCCGTTGCCACACATTTATTGTACAATTTGCGATTTTTGCAATTCATATTGCCAACACTGAACTGATGAAGAAAACGCCATAGCCAAAGCCAAAGCCAAAGCAAATGGCAAATGAGGCTAAAAGAAGATACAATACAGCAAATGTAATCCGGGTCATTCGGGAATGTACTATGGCTGGGGACGAGACTGTTGTGTGTGTTGTGTGTTGTCTGTGTGCGTGCTTAATGGTACATGCGTACGTGTGTGTGTGGTGTCGTATCCAGCAGCAAAAGCACAGTTAATAACATACTCTCCACTCCAGTCGGCTTTGTTAACATAAATAGAAAGAAAATAATGAAAAATAAGCACCGTTTAAGCACCAAAGCGAAATTGATACGAGCAACAACAACAACAAAAAAACAACTAAAAATAATAACCATCGCTTGCTGCGCTCTCCCACAACGCCATTGTGTTGTTGTGGTTGATTATGCTGCTGGGGGCCTGGGGGGGGGCATGTGGGTGTCTGTGGGTCTGTGGCCTATTAAGCCATTAACACACAGGGCAAATGCTAATTAACTACAAAGATAATAGCAAATTATTATTTAATTGTTTGGGAATTCAGGCGTGCAAAGTTTTTGGTCGGAGCTCAGCTAATGCGCTAACTATTATCGAGTTGAATTGATTAATTTTCGGACAGAATGATTATAGATTACAGCTTTAGTTTAATCGATTGCATCCTCAACCGCTTTTCAGCGCATACAAAACTTTGAATCTGTTGGTTTATTCGTTCGTTCTGTTGTTGTTGCTGTTATTGGTTTTGTTCTCCAGTCAACTGACTGACTGACTGACTGCTGTGTAAAAGGCAAACAAGAATGCCGAATGCCGAATGCTGAATGCTTATCTAACGCACACATTGATTGCCATTGAAGTTAAGCCGGCTGTCGACAGCAACGGCAACGGCTACAGCAACAGCAACAACGGGAAAGGCAAAGGCAAAGGCAAAGGCAGTGGTGGCAATCGACAACTAAACCTCTCGCTCTCGCTCTGATGTGCTGATGATGATGTCATCGTCGTCATTTGATGAACATGTGTTGCCGCTGACTGCCTTTTTCTGCTGCTGCTGCTGCTGCTGCTGGCCTGGCCTGGCCTTGGCAGTGCACTGATGCAGACAGAATAGGACTGAGGCAAGGGGCTCTGGGTCTGAGCCCAAAACTCCACTTCCTGCCGGCAAAGAGCCTGCTCCGCCTCTGCCTCTGCCTCCGCCTCCAATTACTCATTCTTGCTGGCAGCGTCAAAGCTCTGATCATGATGGGGTGGGTGATGATGTCACATGACTGAAATTATGCTGGAAACTTTTATTTGATTTATTTATCGGTAATTGGCGGCACGCGAAGCCACCGACCGACCGACCCACCCACCGACCGAACTTATTATTATGCAAGCTAAATTTGCTCATTAGGCAGACAGCCGACAGCTGATTGCCGGAAAAACATTTGACCCACATTAATGTTAATTTTTCGGCCATTTTTCCCGCACAGGCCTCCACCATCGATGGACGCCGCAAGGGTGCCTGCCTGTTCTGTCAGGAGTACTTCATGGATCTGTATCTGCTGGCCGAGCTGAAGACAATCAGCCTGAAGGTGACCACAGTGGATATGCAGAAGCCGCCGCCAGATTTTCGCACCAATTTCGAGGCGACACATCCGCCCATTCTGATTGACAATGGCCTGGCCATACTGGAGAATGAGAAGATCGAGCGTCACATTATGAAGAACATACCCGGCGGCTATAATCTGTTCGTGCAGGACAAGGAGGTGGCCACACTGATCGAGAATCTGTATGTGAAGTTGAAGCTGATGCTGGTGAAGAAGGACGATGCCAAGAACAATGCCCTCATGTCGCACCTCAAGAAGATCAACGATCATTTGGCCAATCGCAACACACGCTTCCTCACGGGCGACACCATGTGCTGCTTCGACTGTGAGCTGATGCCACGTCTCCAGCACATTCGTGTGGCTGGCAAATACTTTGTGGACTTTGAGATACCCGTAAGTGAATGTGACAAAATGCAGCATTATAATTAATGCCAATCCTAATGATTTGCTCCCCTTCCACACACTTCCAGACACACTTGACAGCGCTGTGGCGTTACATGTATCACATGTATCAGCTGGATGCCTTCACACAATCGTGCCCGGCCGACCAGGACATTATCAATCACTACAAGCTGCAACAGGTGGGGTCATTCGATTTTTCCCCCTTTTTTCTGTTTACTAATTGGAGCAATCTTTCCATTTCCGAATTTGCAGAGTCTCAAAATGAAGAAGCACGAGGAGCTGGAGACGCCCACGTTTACCACATCCATTCCAATTGATATTTCGGAGTAAATTTCCTATTAAAGCAGCAGCCCCACACCCCAACACCCCAACAACACAACACCCACCCCCCCAAAACAATACATCAAACAATATTTTGGACAACTTTACAATTAAACCCGCGATGTGTACACCAATCGAATGTAGCGACAACCAGGACTAATAAATTATTGTATACTACAACCATTGATATACATAACTATCCACGCATATAATCTATACTATAAATATACTATACATATACACACACCTATACACCTATACTCGTGTATTGCGAGTAAATAGCAAAAGCATAACAAAGTGTTCTTTAGCAGCCGCGTTGCCTTTCTTCAGCTATGATTGATTAAAACACAACACCCCCCGCCCCCACTCCCAACCCCGCCTCGCGCCCATTCACGGTCTGCGGCGGTGTATTTTTGTTTAATTAATTAATGAACTACATATTTGTATTTGACATACAAATAACCATATACATACATAAATATATACAATATATTAAACGATAGCTCGCAATTAATGGTTCATCCAATGGCATTGTATAGGCCACAACAACACCACCACCACCACACCCCCACCCGGTCTTGGCCCATACATATATATTTTTTTTATTCGATTTAACTTTAAACTTTTGTATTCAGCAAAGGAGCTTTTAATTAATTTTTTTTTTTTGTGCGTGTGTAATAAGAGAAAAAAATTTGCATTTTTTGTTTTTTGTTTTGTTTCTTGCTCCCTGGCGTCCGTTGCCATTTTGTTCGCTTTTAATTTGTATTTTAATATTTTATAACATAAAAAAAGAAAGAAAAAAAAAACACACAAAAGGCAAATGAAAAAAGGAAGATGAGGAAATGAAGAGTATTTTTTGTATTTAAGAGAAAATTAAAAATAAACAAAAAAAAAAAAAAACGAAACACAAAAAAGACAAAAACAAATGATGTTATATTTATGTAGCTTTAAAATTTTTAATTTAATTTTTAAATTTACTTTATAAGTGCCAGCACGAATCTGGGATGCAATGAAGAATGCAATCAAACAGATCGTTCTTCTCAATCCTAAATCTTCCAATCACGTAGTTGATTCATGGCTAGACGTGCTTCAACTCTGAACTTTGCTACGGCCAAAATCAAAGAATTAGGTTGGCAGCAGAGAATCTTAAACTATAGAATTTTATTTCATTTAATGAAAATAATCTAATGGATGGATACTGCAGCACTCACGTTGCCAGTCACATCCACCACTCCATCACACGGTTTGTGCTGTCCGAAAGAAGAGGGAAATGAGCTTAGGGAGCTGCACAATTTGTTCAAAGGCCTAGATATATGTTGGCCCAGTGAATGTCATGGGCCATGGGACGGATCAGAAGGAGCCAGCTGGTTGGATAACATGGCATCATCTACGTACATACTCGATTGCAATTGTAGCCAATTCATTAACAGTAGATAATGTAAAAATCAACAACAGCTTTATTAAATTTTACAAAAAAAGCTTTTCACATAACAGCACACACTGAACACGAGCTCTTTGGCGACTGATCATCCCAACTCGAATCAAATTGAGTGGAACGCCCGAGTCTGATTTGCCCAACTAGCTGGCCATTGATGGGTCCGAATGATGATGCCCTGGTTTCGGGGGAATTTTGAAGGGACGCACAAATTTGATATTCGTCTTGAGGGAGTCGGGCAGAAGGCTGGGCGGCAGCAGACAGTGCAGAAAGAGGTGGGTCAGGTAGCCAGTGATGCCCCAGATGCGGTACTGATCGACCACGAAGACGGGACCACTGTAGCCGCTGCGGAATTGCGTGTGTCGCGCCGCCTTGGGTGCCATCAGTGTGTGGAGCGGTATGCAGAAGACTTCCTCCACCTCCTCCCAGTTCAGGCGCAGCTCAGAGATGTGAAAGTCGGCCACAACGCCGACCACAGGCACAATGGCAGAGGTACGGGGCAAATATAGGGGCCTTGCCTCCCCCCACACCTGGATGCGTTCGCGAGGCAGCCCAATTTCCTCTTCCGTTTCGCGCAGCGCACAGTCCACATAGCTTGCATCGCTTTCGTCCCGTTTGCCGCCCGGAAAGGAGATCTGGAAGCTGTGGCTACGCAAGTGGCGGGAGCGGCGCGTATAAAGCAGCGAGATCTCGTCCCTGAAAGGAGTAAAAGAACGGCTTACGTGGTTGGAGTCACACACCTCCGGACGGGTACACATACACACGTCTGTGCCGCCACTTACGTGCCCCGTTCCTGGCAAAGAGCAATGAGCACGGAGGCCGACAGATTTTCTCGCCCATTGGGTGTCAAGGATTTTGGTCGGGGAAAGGCCGGCAGATTGCGCATCTTCTCCATGCAGCGCTTCTGCTGCTCTGGCGACAGAAGGGCCGCATAGTCGTCGGGGGTTAACAGCTGGGAATCGGTTCGTTCGGTGGCAACAGTCGCTGAGGCGCTAAGATGGCACATTGTTGTCCTCAACAGACGTTGCATGCGCTGGCGCGCCAAGTGTGCAGTGGCCAATGACATAATATTTATTGGTGTCTTGCAAACAAATAATTTTCGGCAAAGTTTGTTTAAACAAAACCAAAAATGATGTAAACAATATAGCAGCTGCAAAATCATCGATACATCGCATTGGCTCACTATCGATAGACTGCTCAATATTTCCGAATAACGTAAATCTGATTATGATTTAATTTAGATTAATTTAAAGCAAATATATACCAACGACTCAGTTAATTATTCAGCTTTTATGTTGTTAGCTAAGATGGATATTTAGTTATTTTATACAGTTAAATACAATGGCTTACATACCCTCTTTGAGTGCATGGATACGGATACGAGACGATCATGGCACTGATGTGGGTGGCTACTGACACTAACCACTAACCATACAGTATATAGATGTTCCAGTTCATACAACGAAAGGGGCGCAGCTGAGCTTGCAGCGTACGTTCCCAGGTCTTCGGCTCTGGGATTGACCGCGTTCGGCTCATGACGTGACACGAGCCGGCGGACAGCAAGCATGTATGTGTGTACGTGTAACACTCCAAAATATATGATTGTATGCATAGTAATTATATGTTTTTAGCTGCTGAAACTGATTTTGTAAAAATTAATGTAAAAATGGTAATAAAAATTAAAAAAAAATCAAAAAAAATGTGTTTCAATTGCTCATTGACAAAAGCTGACTGATATGAAACGAAAAAATTCATATTGCTCACTGACAAAAGCTGACTGATATGAAACGAAAAATTCGTATTGCTCACTGACAAAAGCTGACTGATATGAAACGAAAAATATAATTGCTCACTGACAAAAGCTGACAGATATGTAACGAAAAATAATAATTGCTCACTGTCAAAAGCTGACTGATATGAAACGAAAAAATATAATTGCTCGCTGACAAAAGCTGACTGATATGACACGAAAAATAATAATTGCTCGCTGACAGAAGCTAACTGATATGAGACGAAAAAATTATAATTGCTCGCTGACAAAAGCTGACTGATATGAAACGAAAAATTGTATTGCTCGCTGACAAAAGCTGACTGATATGAAACGAAAATTATAATTGCTCACTGACAAAAGCTGACTGATATGAAACGAAAAATAATAATTGCTCACTGTCAAAAGCTGACTGATATGAAACGAAAAAATTTGAATTGCTCACTGACAAAAGCTGACTGATATGAAACAAAAAAAATTAAATTTGCTCGCTGACAAAAGCTGACTGATATGAAAAAATTGTAAATGCTCCCTGACAAAAGCTGACTGATATGAAACGAAAAATTCTAATTGCTTGCTGACAATAGCTTTCTGATATGAAACGAAAAATTGTAATGGCTCGCTGACAAAAGCTGACTGCTTCACTGTGGCGGAAACAATCGATTCCTGTGTCCGCCTTCGATACCTGCATCGCAACGGCAAATTTACTGTGTTTCCGTTGCCCCTCGATGCAACTCTGATACCCATGATCTTGAATGACAAGGCGACTTCTACTGCAAGTCCTGAAACAATTCTGCACAAGCACCCAAGGAACTAGAGCCGTAAGAGTAAACGTCGCAATGCCTTGGAAGGGAATGACACCGAAGAGGAAGGATCCCGAAAATGGAAACTAAAGTTAAGTAAATAACCCATCAAAATTAAAGGTTTACTTCAAAATGCGTTGAAAATTTCTTAGGCAAGGGGTTGGCGAGGGTGTACCTGTACCTGAACCGAAACCTGCTATAGAATTGTGCTCAAATTTTGTTATTGTGTATAAATGTAGTTTATTTGTTGTTCCTTTTTTGTTTGTTGTATTCTGTCACGTGTTAAATATTAATAAATAAATTGCATTAAGTAGTATACGATTAGTGTTTGGTTTTAGAAGTTAGTTAGAGGCGCAGTAGCAGAGAGTTGTAGACGTTTCCTTGGCGATGCTGTTTCCCAAGTAGCTTTCGAAATTTATTCATCAAATTTGCCGTCTGTCTTGTGGCTTGTGTGTTTGTTTGTTTGTGTGTTGCAAAAATATTGCGCCTGCGCTTCCGAATGGCGATCAGAAGTATATATATATATATTGTATGTATATATAAATATTATTAACTTGCATTTATTTTTATTTTGTTTTATTTTTGTTTTTACCTGCACTTGAAATATTTAGAATATTTTTTAGTCATTTCCATTTAGATTAATAACATACGTACGTACATATGTATGTATGTATGTCTATATGTGGATTTCAATATTAGCTTTTTGTTCATTTGCTGTTTGCTTTGTTCATCTTTGTCTTCCTCTTTATCTTCATTGATTTTAAATATGCAAAAATAAGCTCTCTCTCTGTCTCTCGCTATTCTCTTCTCGCTGCTGCCACTCGCTCTCGTTATCATTGATGTGAGATCCTGTGCTCATTCCTTTCTTATATATGTATCCTCTCGCTTAACAGAAACTAGACAATGCTGAAATTATTGTTCTTCGTATTACTTTTGCTTTTTTGCTTATTGTTTTCGATTCATCTTTACATCAAATACAAATACAATTACTCCTATGCAAAGCGTACATACATACATATACATTAACATATACATATATATATATGCATGCAACTCGTGTGTATGGCAATAATTCGATTGATCGAGAAGTGTGCTTGATTTCTTGTACATATACAGATAGTAGAATACAGAATCTTAAACATTCGCTTAACTTTGACGCTCTTAAATGCATTTTTTTTTTTTTTTTTTTTTTTATTTTATTATTTTGTAGTGTTATTTTTGCGGGTTTTGTGGTTGTTGCAGGCATGCATGGCTTTGGTTACTAAATGCTATGCTATAAATATAATTATGATATCTCCGGTATTGCAATAATAATCCATAACGGCTCTCTATACAATAAAAATTCAACGAAATCTCAGCTTATCGCGTACATTACATATTCCCTTATAGCGTATTTCTTTTTTGGCATAAAGTGTTTTTTGTTTTGTTTTGTTTCCTTTTCATCGAAATTATAAATGTAGTTAAAAAAATAATATTAAATACGGTAAGCCTTGGGGTTCATTTACATGGAAATCATACATATCGTAGGCTAATAAATTAATTGCTTGCCAAGTAAATTCAATCGAATGCTTAAACTATTGTTCTACCTGTGGGGAGGGAGGGGTGTGTTTTGGGTTGGGTGGAGGGGTGGACACAAGAGACAGTAGGTTGGTTAAGTACTTTACAATTTGAGTACTTTGCTGAACAGTGTACATAGCCACTGAGTAGCACTCACACACACCCATCCATCCGCTCATCCACGCACGCACGCACGCACGCACACACTCTCTCTCTCTCTCAAAATTCAGTCTTTTTAATATACAAAAAAGGGGGAAACGATCAATGCGAACGGGAACGGAAGGGAAGCCAAGCAACCAAAGAGCAAACATTAACTGAGACTGATTCAAATGTTGTAGTTCGATCCATTCCATCGGCTTCAACAATGCTCGGGCTCGGGCTCGGATTCATCGATTTACATCGAAAGTTAATCGATTTTGCATTGTTTCGTTTCACAGAGGCATCAAATATGATTTGCATTGCTGCTTTAAAGCTGCTCAACTTCGAAGTTGATCAATTCTGAGCTCGCTCATCAATTAAGAGTTCGATTTGGGATCGATTCTAGGTGCAGTTTATCGCTCCGATCGATTCCACACAGTTGCGGCTCCTCCTGCCAATTGACGAGCCATCGAGTGCATTTACAGGTTTTACAGTGCTTCCAACGGAGTGCGGGAGGGGGGGCGGAGCAAGTCGTGTGTGAGCAGTTACATATTTTTATATATAGATTGGCGTCTCTTGGCCAGTGAGCAAACGAAACATGGACGTGGGCATGGTCTTCATCAGGATCTAAAGAAAATAGAAAAATGCATCCAATTAATGAGACGAAGAAAATGGGAAATGAAGCCTTCCGCTTACCTCGCCCACAGAGGATGACAAGAGCTTGACAATGGTATCGTGGGGCACGGCCACCACACTCTGATTGTTAATCTCGATGATGCGATGACCCACACGGACACCGCCACGCTCGGCGATTCCACCGCGCAGCAGACTGCAGATCTATGAAATGAATCGCCCATTGAGTATATGAAAGGGAAGGGATTGTGCTCGTGCACTTACCACGCCATTCTGGACACTGAAACCCAACTGGAAGAGGGCCTTGGGCCGCAGTATCTTCACCTCGACGACGGGGGGACAGGGCACAACGGTGAACTTGACGGCAGTTTGATTCTTGGCATTGCGTATGTAGCTCTGGCAGGTGGAGAGCGGCAGACCGACCAGGCTCATGCCATTGATGGCTATCAGCTGGTCGCCAATGTTCAGCTGGCCGCAACGGGCAGCTGCCCCGGTGGACATTAGATTGGCAATCACGACCGTGGGCAGCATAGAGCCCCAGCCGGACTCGACGATGACAACGCCAAGGATTTCGCCCTTGGCCTTGGGCACGACAACCTCCTTCTGCAGTTCCTTCTTGGCGAATATCTCGAGCTCGTCGCCGAAGATCTCCTGGCTGTTGAGCACCTCCTGGTAGTCCATCTCCTTGGCCAGGTTCTCGTTCTCGATGCCATTGGCCTTGAGGAACTCCATGTAGGCCACCTGGAAGGCCTGGCCAATCGACTGGGCTATGAACTGAGCCTCATCGCTCTCGAACACATGGCAGATCATCTTCGGCGTGCGATTGTGCTTGCTGTGAAGCACCTGCGAGGGCTCCTTTGGTGGCGAGCAGTCAGCTGCCTCGCCGCTCGTGGCCGCTGCCATCGAATTGGAGACATCTCCGAGCGTATTTGGACCGGGGCTGGGATTTGAATCGCCCAAACTGTTGGGCACGAACCGGCGACGGGCCATCAGCACCACCAGATCCCCGATGTCGGCTATGTAGGAAATGGTGCGCAGGGCATGATCCATCATGATCTCCTTGAGGTCTGTGTTTAGCACCATTATCTTCTCGGTTGATATGAACAGATCCACCTCCGTGCTCGGCTGGCTCTCGCCCTCGGGTGCCTACAGCAAGAAAACAGAGAGAACAATGCCATGAATATCTGTGCTCATTTTGGGCACAACGATTGAGTGGGGATTAACAATCGAAACGATTCTCTTACCAAAGCCTATTCAAAGGGAATGCGCAGCAGGGAACGAGAAAAGCGAACGAGAAAGTTTAGACACGAGACACACATTTAGCATTAAAGCAGTAGATAGCCTAACATTTGGGTAGGTTGGAGCTGGGGCTGCAGCTGGCACTACGTGGGTGGTGGGGGGTTGTTGATCACTCTGTCTGCAACACTCACCTTAATCCGTGAGACAGCCTCTTCGGCCTGCATCATTCGCGTGGATTTGGTTGGCTGGCCCTCGCACACGAGCTGCGTCGATCCCAGATATTTGGCTCGGAAGAGCACGCCCTCAATGAGCACTTTGGGTTCCAATAGACCTGAAGCACAGAAGGCAGAAACATGCACAAACGTTTATTAGATATGGGGCATATATGGGTGCATATGCATGTGTACATTGAGGCAAGCGAATGCATGCATTGGAGACATGAAACGTTAAGGCAGTGGCAGAGGATACTGGTCCCTGGCTCCTAACGATTGTCCTGCACCCGTCTGCACATCAATCTACCGTCTCCTCAATGGGGAAAACAAAGGATAACTCCTATCTATCTACATATATATCACTTCAGTAGCTAATGCTGAGACTGAGCTTAAACACGTCTACAACGACGCCCTTCGATAAGTTTCTAAATTAAGGAAAATATTACATATTTAATTTAAATTTAAATTTTAAATAAATATTTAATTTAAGTTTTAAATAAATATTTAATTTAAATTTTAAATAAATATTTAATTTAAATGTATTTTAAATTTTAATTAAATATTTTTATATTTAAAAAAAATATATTTCATATTTTATTTGAATGTTAAGTAATAGTGGTTATATTTATATTCATAAATATGGTCCGTATTGAAGAGGCTTTTCAATACACCTATTTGTGTTTCTTAAATTTTAATCAAAGTAAAAATAGTTTTAAACCATTTTAATTTAATTATGATTGTGTTTCTTTTGTGTATTACGCCCTTTTTTGGTCTGAGTCTGGGCTAGATATATGTTGGAGCTATATAAAAAGTAATTATCTATCTGTGATATATGCAGAAAAAGAAACGAAAAACCCTGCAATTCGCTAGAGTTATTCATCTAGCATTATGATCCCTGCCATACAATCTATAATCTATAATCCAGATCTGCTTATAATAAATATTAAGCTTAAGCCTGCTGCTGCTGCCTTATCGCTTCGTAAGCCACAGTAAAACCAGAGAGATAGAATGAGAGAGAAATGGTACATGGCACAGACAGAGAGAGGTAGAGGTAGAGGCGGACAGTGTGAAAGAGCAGTAGACAGAGACACTTACATGACACACAACACACACATCACAAATAAATGGGTGGAAAAAAGTGTGCGGATTGCAGCGTGAAATGTTAAATATTAAATTTAGGATATTCGAGAGACAGAGAGAGAGAGAGAGAGATATCAGTAAAAATGGAACCACAAACAACAGCGGCAGAGTACACGAGGGGGCGCCACTCACCCTCCTTGTTGCGCGACTTGGCGGCCTTCTTGTCGCCATTCGCCGAGTCCTTGAGCGACTTAATGGATCCCGTCGGACTCTTGGTGAACTGCAGCTTCTCCGGTGAGCCGCTGATCGTTATGTCCGCCGTGCCCACAATCTGGCAAATGTCCGGCGAATTGGGCGTCAGGGAGGTGCCGATACCCTGCCGTATGGTCGCCGTCGAATAGGTCTGCGGCTTGGGATTATTGTTGTCAATGCAGCCGCCATTGAGATGTCCATTGCTGGCTATTTCCGTTCCCTCGTTGGCATTGCTATCTGGCGCCTGGGGCTGCGCGCATAAATTTCAATCGAGAATTAGTTATAGGCATACACCCCCGGACCCGCTCGGGTTGCCTCACCTGATCGGAAAAAAAGTCCTGCTCCTCGTGGCGCTGCTGGCCCAGCAATCGATCCGTTTCCAGATCGGTATCCGGCTCCTCCTCCAGCGCCGCTGTGGCTGTGACTGGCGTTGCTGTTGCCGCCGCACATTTGCGCGGCACCCACACGGGGGATTCCGGTTCGGTTGGCAGCACTTCGTCGCAAAACTTGAGCTTATCCGGCTGCGTCTTGGCCCGCTGCAGGGCCGTGCGTATCTCCTTCATGGCCTCCTGGATCTCCACTGCCGCAGTGGCCGACTGCTGGACGGCACTGCCACTGCCACTGCCACTGCCTGCTGCATAGACAGCTCCATAATGAGATTGCTCAATGGGGCAGCAATCGCTATCCACTGCTGCTGCTGCTGTTGCTGCCGCTGCTGTGACCGCCTGCTCGGCATGCATGGATTCGTGGCTGTTCGTGTCTGGCAGTTCAATCTGCGGCGGTGTGCAGGCAGTGTCACAAATAACAGGCAGTGGCGGTGGCGGTGGCATTGGCATTGGCAGCGAGGCAAAGTCACTTATCAGCGCCGATTGTGAGGCATCGGTTGTGACAGTCGCCAGGCTGGCACTATTATTATATTCGTTCTCCAATCGTTCACCATTTATCGGCCCATTTGCATTGCCATTGTGCTCGTGGACGGGCTGTTGTTGCTGTTGAGGCTGCTGTTGCTGCTGCTGCGGCTGCTGCTGTTGTGTCTTGTCACAAATAACAGATACATTGTTCTCCGTATCGGAGGCATGGCCGCTACTAAGGCCATCCTCCAGCACGGGCATGCTCGTGTACAGCTTGCCATAGTCTGTGGGGCAGTTGATGTCATTCGACAGGCTATCCAGATCGCCGCAATTCGAATCGTAATCCGTTGTCTCCGGCGACAGGGTAAAGTTGCGCGAATGTCGTCGCAGATTTGCCTCCAGTTCGGTGTCCGCCAGATCGCCGCTGCTGCGACTATTCGAATCGATATACAGCTCAATATCGTTGTGCTGCTCCTGATACACAGTCGGCACACAGACGTTGTGTTCACTGGGTGGCTGCTGCTGTGGAAATAAAATGTTTTAATTGCCAGAGTCAGTTGGGCAGTCTCAGTGGAGCAGCGTCTCGTCTCGTCTCGTCTCACCTGCTTCTTGCTGGGCGAACGATGAACCATATAAAGCTCTTCTTTGGGTATCCTAGCCAGCCGCTGGCCAATGTATGCCTGCTCCATGGGTGTCGTTGCCGGATATTCCTGCTGATGCTGCTGTTGTTGCTGCTGCTGCTGCTATGCAGGAGGTTAAGGAAACTTGCTGTATTAAGAGGAATCCTTGGCTTCTAATCGTTGGATCTACTCACCGTATTGGGCACTTCATCGCCGCTCTCTGTGGTGTAGTCCGCGAAACGTTTCTCATCATCGGGATTGGCCTTGAAGAACTCCTCCAGCACCTTGCGCGTCTCCGAGAACTCGTACAAATAATCGAATGCTGGTGTTTTCTCTCTCTCTCTTGCCGCTGCCATCCTGCTGCTGTCCTCTTCGTGATCGATCAGATCTATCAGATTGCCCGACGATGCCTTGCCGGCCACATTGCTGTTGCCCCCGCCGCCGCCACCGCTTGTGGTGGGCGAGACGCGCTGTGGAAAGCCTGGCGGACGTTTGCGTGAGCCGCTGTTCAATGCGGCGCTCGCGGCCACCGCCGCTGCCGCCGGCTGGTTGCCAAAGCGTCGTGGCGATCCCTCGTACTCGGCTATGGGCAGCTGGCCAATCATTTTGGTCACCTTCAGTATGTCCTCCTGGCTGTCTGAGCGCATCGCCGGGACGGCCTTGTTCATCCAGTTGGTGTCGATGTCGTCAAAGACAACAATTTCGCCATCCCTCAGGCACTGACCATCGGCCTTGCCCACATCCGTTGGCGAGCCAGGACTGGCACGACCCTGCCACAGAAAGAATAGTAAATTCTTTATTAGTAAATTCATTCATTAGTAAATCGTGTTGCCAAAAAAGGGTACTGCCATGGAGACTTGGAGTATCTTTTCCTTTAGCAAAAGCAGCGGCTGATTCCCAGTGGCTATTAAATGTATCTTAAAACTATTCCTTTGGACACTCTGGCAGGACTACAGATTCGTTTAACATGTATCGAGCACCCAACGGCAAGGGGAGCCCCAATCATGGTCAGTATCTCTGGGTACATTGCAAATCTGCATGCAAATAGGAGGACAAGCAACGTGCAATGGTATTCTGTATCCCCACCCCAAGGATAGCAGCAGGAGGCTCCTCCTGTGTGTGTGGGAAACTAATTTGATGCCTCTACAAATATTTACAAGATCATCATTGAAAGTCTATGCAAAGGCGTGTTGAAACGCCATCGAAAATCTACAATATTCGGCATACATAAAAGGGTACCGCAAAGAGGCGAAAAAAGGCAAAGCGCAGAATGGGATATAATCGAAAAGAAGTTTAAGAGCGAACAGAGAGAACATGGTGTATATGGTAATAATTATTATGGTGCACTTTTCTGCATGAAATTTGACATCCCTTTCAAGGTTAGAAAAGACCCAAGAGGAATCTAGTGGCAGCCTTGCGCTGTGCGGAGAGACGCACAGGATAGTTGGCCCACAAGCAGCTTATTATGGAGTGGACAGAGTGGAGGCCAGAGACAGAGTAAAAGCTTCCCTGCTCTACCCTTTTTGGATTCTAAAATATGGATTTTTCCCCGAAGGAAAAGGTAATTCAATTAAATTCTTACACAACGAATTTTCTTACCTGTGGCAGGGATGATTCGTGGGCATCGAACTGGCTGCCCGGACTGCGACCGACACGAATCTGATGGAGATGCGGCCGCTGGTAGTAGTAGGAGGAGGCCATCTGTCCGCCAGTTTCCCCATAGCCCATGGACAACTGTCCCGGCGACTGGCCCTGCATCGGTGCGTACGGCAGCTCGGTATTCAGGTCTGGTGAGTTGAGCACTGTGCTGGCGGGCGTCACATTCGGACTGCGCGTTCGCATCTCCCACACGTAGCGCTCCTGCTGCAGCGACTGCAGCTGCGGCTGTCCAAAGTTCATTTGCATCGGATTGGCCATCGAATCGTTGCTGCCGTCGCTGCAGGAATTTGAGTTCATGGCCTGCATAGGGTTGGAGGAGGGCTAGATACGCTGGATGGTACGCTGGTTTGCTGCTGCAACCACAGCTGTATGGATGGATTTGGACTGGAACTGCAACTGAAACTGAATCTATGGATGCTCCGCTCCGTCTGGGCTTACTGCTCTAGTGCTGCGTCCGCTGCTGTTGCTGCTGCTTCTGCTGCTGCTGCTGACATGTCTCGTTCTGAGTAGATACTGCCTAAGGGAGAGAGATAAAGGTGGGCATTAGTTGGCTCGATGATCTAACGGATGAATCACTGCAACTGTAAATGCAGCAGCCACAGCCACAGCCCCAGCCCCAGCAAGGGACAGGTTGTTGCTGGCCAGAGAGAAATCAATGCTGGGGGTTGCACTGCTTGCTGGCTTGCTGGCTGACTGGCTGGCTGATGCTGCCAATTAACCCAATAACAAGGCCCGCGAATCGTGTCATCAAGGGACACACTAGCTGCTGTAGCCTTCATGTGTCCCCCTCCCTTTCGCACTCGCTATCTATCAGTGGGTGTGTGTGTGTGTGTGATTGCGCACGTAAACTTGGCCTCCAAAAATGTTCCGCGCAGGCAAAACAAACTCGAAAGTGCAGGAAACGCAGGAGGCTGGGCTGGCTACCAGACACAACAACAAAGCCACCCACCCACTATCCGCCGTAGGTGATTTTGTTGGCTGGTTGGGTAGGGGGGGTGGATATGTTGCAGGCTGTGTGTCTCGCCTTTGTTTTCGATTGTTTGGCACGGCACGGACGTTACTTCACCACAAACACTCACACACACACACACACATTTGGGTGTGTGTAGGGTAGGGTGTGTGTGCGTGTGTGTACATCAGCGAATTGATGCCTTTGCGCGCCTGTGTAGTTGTCGATGCGTGGTGTGTGTGTGTGTATTGCCATGGCATTGTTAAAAATCAATAGATTTTGCTGGTTATTTTCTTCTTTCTTTTTTTCTGCAGCTAGTTCTTCCTGTTTCCATGAGTGGAAGAACGCCAGAGGCAGAGACAGTCGCCGCCGCAGACTCCCGCACGCCACCCCCCGGACAACAACAACAACAAATGTAGCAACGGTAAATGACACGGTCAAGCGAACGAACGGCGGTAAAGAATCACATGCGAATGCCCGAGCGACAGCAGCATCAGGACACCATCAAGCACAACAACACCTGTCGCTAATTTACCATTTAATATTGTTTCGTGACCGCGGATGTATCGGAAATAACGGGGGAACCGTGGGAAACAACAAAAAAAAACTCTCAATGTGACCGCGGACTTATCGATAAGATATACCCGCCTGAATCTCAAAAATATACCGAAATATACCGTAAGTATACCGAGGAAAAATAGGAATTAACACACCTAAGCCCGCTTTATTTAAACAGGTCAACAACTTGACTAAACCGCGGAAAATATTACTGTTTGTGTACGCTCCTTGTAGCTCCATCCTTCCTTTTTACTTACAAAACATTTATGGCTACGATATTTTTAACCTGTACTGCGTTAAAGCTCTTCAAGCTTCATTATTTTTTAGTGTTTCTATTTGAATACCCACTGGTCGACAATGGGTTAATCGTTCTCTGTCGGCATATTCGATACATAGCGCTAGCCCAACTATCGATGAGCTCGCAACAGCAACGCAGCCGAAACTTGCGAAATTTGCCTCTTGTGCAAATATTTGCAGCACTGGCATTGGGCGGCAAATTTAAAAAGGCAGTTTAAATGTTTTAGCATTTAGAGTTTAATCGATTATATGTACCGTGTCGTGTCTGTGGTTTCAGATTCAGTTTTAGATTGTTGCAACATTTGCAAAATTGGAAATACAAACACACATTCTTGTTGGGGGCTGTGTATACATACAAATTCGATGAGCAAAAATTGACAAGGATTTGTTTTGTTGTTGTTGTTTGTTGTTCTTGTTGTGTGGCAGTAAACAGTTTTCTGTAAATGTTTGGTGTTTATTGGGTTTTTATTCTCTATAGATACTACCATATAATGAAACAATGTTTCTTCTTTATGTTGAATTGCTGCTGTATATGTTTGTTTGTTTGTTTCAGTTTTAATACAATAATTACATATTAAAGTTTTGCACTATACGCTAAACTGGAAGGAATGATTGCGTTTTAATTGTTGGACATTAACTTAACAAATATTTTATGCATATTGTACTGTTTTAAACATAAGGTGTGAAGGGGTTAAGGGTAGGGTAGGGTAGGACACAATGGATAACAATATAAATACGTATTAAAATAATTAACTAATAGTAGATAGGAGTAGGGGGTAGTGGGTAGGGTGCACAGTAGTTCAGAGTTCACAGAGAGTATGCGTGGGTGACTGAGGAGGGTTGGGGGTGGCGGAAGTTCAACATAAAAATTCTTTGCGCACTTAAATTCTATTTTTTTGTGTTTAAACATAATTTTGGTAGTTTTTGGCTTAAACTAGTTGCTCGTTTTGGTTGTGCCTAACATTAGTAAATACAATACACACCCAGCCCCGAGTGGGCGCCACTTAGATGCTACGCTACTTAATGATTATGATGTGGGGGGGGGAAGAGAGAGAGGGTCACAAGAAACAAAAAAAAAAAAATAGTAGAAGGCAGGGCGGTCGTATCCCTACGCTTCGGAAATTAAAGCTTTGTATGTTTGACCGTGTCCGTCCAGTAGTTTTGTATTGTCATCGCCTCCAGCGAATTGAGAAACGAATCATTGTCCAGGCTGTACATCTCATCGGAGTTGTCCTGCAGGAGAGACAGCGACAGCGACAGAGACAGAGACAAAACAAAGAAGCATCAAATAAAATGTGCACACAAAAATAATTCGTTATGCTAATTTTGGTTGACGAATCCTTACACTCACCCGCATGGTGCTATCATCGATATAGACACTGGAATCGGGTTCGCTCAGTGCCTGCGGCTTGTTCAGAAACCGTCGACGGTAGAGCACAATGCCAATGGTGCCCACAGTGCAGCAGATGCCAAAGACAGTGAAACAAATGGCCGAAATGGCGCCAGCATCCAGGAAATATGTACGCTAGAAACGATGAAGTGTGAGTGGTGATTCCAACTGCTGCAAGAAGGTGGACCCGCTTGGCTCACCTGTATGGCCAGTGCCTCGGATGAAATGTTACCCTCCTCGTTGGCCCCATCGTAGCCATCGGCCACACTGGGCGCCGACGAGGCCGAACGCGTCAGCAGACTCTTTGTGTCGCTGGAGAAGTTAATGTAGCGATTGATGTGCTTATATTCGGCGGACAGCACCTTCGATTTGCGCGAACGATGCTCGCTCTCGGCGCGGCGCAGCTCCTCCTCTTTGTTGGCGTTCTCCAGCGTGAAGGGCGCCTTCTCGCCATGCTCCAGCTCCAGCTCATCGGACAGCCATTCCGTGTTGATTTTCGGTGTTGAGGGTGTGGCCGATGATGTCAATGGTGTTGTCACTGTGGCAGCAGCCGCAGCCCCAGCCCCAGCCGCAGCGACAGCAACTGCCATTGCCACACCAGTTGTGGATGCTGCTTCTGTGCTTGCTGTTGTTGTTGTGGCAGCTAATGAGGATGCAGAGGAGGATGCGCTGGAGGATGTGCTGGCTGCTGTCGTTGTGGTTGTTGTTGTTCTTCTTGTTGTTGTTGTGACTGGACTGTTGCTGCTGCTGTTCAGCTGCATTGTGGGCTTCAAAGTGCTGCTGCCGTTGCTGCTGCTGTCATTTGTACTGCCAAAGGAAAGCATTAGCAGCAGCCAAAGAATTATTTGATTTTTGTAATCCCCGCCCTTACCTTGTGCTACTGCTAAAATTCGTAAAATTGTTGAGCTGCTCGGAGGTAAAATCCGCCGAACGCTTGAACTCGTACTGAGCCACAGTCTGCTGCACTTCAGCAGCATCTGCCTGCTGCTGCTCCTCCTGTTCCTCCTGTTCCTCCTTTTCCTCCTGTTCCTCTCCCTCATTTAGCAGCAGATCCTCATGCTGATCTTCCTCATCCTGCTCCTCATCCTCATCTTCATCAGCGGCATAAACAGGCGTCACAGCAAGCGCCGCTGCAGCAGTTGTTGGCCTATTGGTCAGATCCATGATGTTGCTCTGCGTGGCCGTCGACCACGTCTGGCTGACTGTCGTCTGGTATAGCTTGGTGGTCTGCCGCGCCACAGGCTGTGTCGCCGCCGCCGCCGCCGCCGCCTCCTGTTGTCTGCTGGGATATGTGTGGACATGGCTGGACAGCAATTGAACTGCAAGCGAATCCAAAGGGCATATTCAGGCCGTAAATTAAGGCAAAATTTAAATGTAGTCGCTTACCGCTGAGGCAGGTTATCCAGAACCAATGTGACCACCAATAGAAAGTCATGATGCGATCCGTTCTGTGATCTTGCGACGACTGTTGGTCCCCACCAGGAAACGCAGCAAGAGAGTGAAAGAGACAGAGAGAGAGAGAGAGAGAGAGGGAGAGCATTAAGAGAGGATGAGTCAGTGGCGCATGGCCAGGAGGGTACTCCACGAATCCCCATAAAATATTCCCCAATGTCCGATGAAGTCATCGAAGTTGCCTTTTCTTTTTTTTTATATTCGAAATTTTCGGTTTACATTCTGCGAAAAACGAGTTTGAGCAGGAAGGGGAGGGGGGTACACGCCAAAGGAATTGACCATTTTTGGGCTGCAACTCAGAGACAGCTCCACCCACCCGCAGGGATTGCCAGCCTCAGCCTCAGCCCCTGCCGATGGTCGACGACTTTGGGGCTGGCACTGCCACTGCCACTGAGCTCAGACACTCACAAAAGTCTTTCCTTCCAGTCAGTCGCATCTTCTTTTGATTATAATTTCCATACCATTTTGGGTAGGGGTTGGGGGTGTGGGGAAGATCGTGCGACCCACGCTTTTCGGGCCATGCCAAAATAAGTTTGTAACTGTCTTAAATGGCTTTGGCCAACTACTCCCACTCGAGTGGCGCTGCCTCCTCCTCCCACCCCCCGGGCTCATCCATCCTCTCTGGGGCTTAATTGTTTTGCCGCTTTTGTTCTGGCCAACAAGACAAGCCAACAAAGGCAGCACGCAAAAAAACAAATAAAAACGTAAGAAACAGCCAGAGAGTGAGAAAGAGAGAGAGAGGCGAGATGCGTGTGTATGCGACTATGCGGATACCCCGCAACAGCTACAGCAGCAAGCAACTGTCTGCATTCAAAGTGGGTGAATCGCATCAAAGAGCGCATGGAATATGGGAAAGTCATTAAATTAATTAACATTCGAAAAGGATTCTTCCATAAGAAACTAAATATGTCTGCCTTTAAAAGCCACTCAAAAATAAACCCCAAATGCAAATAGAATTTGTATATTCACATTATAAAATTCTACCAAATATAAAATGTAATCGTTTATTTAAATTTAAATTAAATTTTATTGAAATTTAAATTGTTTCAAACCAATACAAAGATAGGGCTAAAACTTTCCTACTTCAAAATTAAAATTTATTTTAATCTAAATTCAATTAAAAGAATAAAATCAATGAAAAGATTTGTCCAACCAAAATTAAAAAAAAATGAAAAAATTCTGCACATAAAATAATTTCATTCAATAACTAAAGCCAAAAACGATGACTAGGCTCTCCTCCCACCGCCCATTAGTTTTAATGTATGTACATGTGTACAACCCTTGGCATGCGCTCAATATACTCTGCATTGGTGTGAGAAGATTTCGAGGGTAGCCAACAAAATTAGCATTCCAATTTTGGTGTCGGGCGGACGGCTGTGAAAATACAATTTACTTGTAGTTTGTCGGTTTGCCACCAGACTTTTGGCGATTCCGTAAAGCCAGGGAAACACACACAGCACCAAAAACCAAAAACAAAAGCAAAAACAAAAACAAAAACCAACAGACAAAGAGCTTCCAAGCCCGTCCTAATTTGTTTGTGCTAAAAAAAAACAACAAAAACAATAACAACGAAAAAAAAAACCGAACCTAAAAAAGAGAATGAGAATTTTTCGCTTAAACGTTTGTATCTTTGTTTTTTGGTTCCCCCCTTCCCCCCATTTATTTGGGTTAATGGAGGGGGCTGGAGTTGAAGTCTTAGCATCTTAAGGGACCTACAGCGACCCATAAAAGGTGCACCCACCCGACCCCCCAACTGCCAAACTGAAGCCCTGATTAATATTACGTATACGCCTTTAAGCTGGTTGGTGGGGCACGCACACACATAATCGTAATCTCGTATGGGGGGTAGCATGAGGCGTTAAAGGTCAAACAAACACACAGTGGCAATAATTTGCCCGCTTGCCTGCTTTTGTTTTATGCTTTATGCTTGTAGGTTTTTATGTTTTTTAATGGTAATTCGAGTGGGCCATAAAGCAAAAGCCAAAGCCAAACAATTGTTTAATGCCCGACAAAAACAAATACAAAAAAAAGCTAAAGAGAAGTCACAGTCGGAGCCACAGTCGGAGCCACAGTCGGAGCCACAGTCGGAGCCACAGTCGGAGCCACAGTCGAAGCCACAGTCAGAGCTGGCAGCCACAGCCTCTGGCAAAAGTTCTGCGAACCATAACGAATGACATCCATAGACACCCCCCCCCAAGCCAACCCCTTGAGGCAGATGTTCTTCTCTGTGTGGTGTGTGGTGTGTGGTGGGGTATGTAAATCAGCAACATCAACAGCAGCATCGTTAAACAATTTACCCACAGATGAGAGAGAGATGAGATGAGATGGGATAATGAGCGGCACACAGCCACACAGCACACATACGAGTTGTATCTCTGGGGCACAAATATTCAGTCATGAAATTGGACTCAAGGCTGGGCCCTGCAGTATGCAAAGCATTTCATAATAACCCCCAACCAAACAAAATGAGAAAAAATTAAAGAAAAAAACAAAAACAAACAACAGAAACAGAAACCAAATGCACTTTCATATGCCCCATAAAACTGGAGCAAGTGCCGCCGTCGGTCGCCACATTGCAATTAACACAAGCCACAAAAGCACACACACAGAGGCACAGAGAGACACACACACACTGACACAATCATAGGCAAGAAACAGCATAAAGCCAAAGAAGGTAGCGACTATGCAGACTGGGGGGCATACACTTTCCTGTACGAGCTGATCATAATGCAGGACTAAAAATATTCCATTTAAAAGACAGCGTGACATGTGACAATACTGTTACTCAGTGTTGGTAAACGTTTGCTTAGTGCAAGCAATTGAAGGAGCTGCGCCAAAACGATGTCTGTAGCAGCATCGCAGCTGAATAATATTTAATAGTCATAAACAATACTTCTACAAATAATAAATTATAATAAAAAAAGTAATGTTAAAAAATAATAAATAATAATAATCAATAATAGTAAAAAATAATAATTTTTTGGTACATAATAGTTATAAAAATAATAAATAATAGTTATAAAAATAATAAATAATTAAAAATAATTATTAATAATTAATAATAAACACTGTGCAACAGCAAGCACAAAATAATTATTATATTGCGGATTCAGATGCATTCTCATACATCGAATTTGCCATGTAGCGCCAAAACCGCCTAAAAAAAAATTCCAAAAACCACAATAAGTAATAATAATAAATACAAAATTGTATGGCCTGAGCATAGGATCTTAAATTTGCATGCGTACAAAAAAACTGCAGATATAGCAAGCCAAAGTTAAAGTGCTCTCACATTTTTAAAGTTTCTTCAACTTTAACATTTTTTTAGAACTATTTTGTGGGGCCCATTTTAGATTTAAGCTCTTTAGTGGCATTAATGTAGGCAGCCCAACTTTATTTTACACCAAATAAGGCCACAGGCAGAGCCTCAAACTGATCATATTCCCAAAAGGTACAGACAGAGCCTGCAAATAATCGTATGGCCAAAATCGTATTTATTTTGCCTGCCCCCCGGGCAGAATGTCTCTCAAAATGTGGCATACCCCGGCCCGCCGTGGCATAATAATTACAGTGCGCTGAGAGAGTGAAACGAAAACGAGGCAGGTGCAGGGTGTATGGGGCAGGGTGCAGGGGGCCGGGTGCAGTGGCAAAAGCAACCTTCAAGTGCAAGCGACAAAAGCAAAAATTGAAAAGGCGTCGCCGTCACAGCAAAAGGTGCAATAATTAGATGCAAACCAGCCACAAGGGGCATGCGATGGGAAAGTTCACGCTCACTTTCTACCACACTTGTTTGCGAGAGCCCTTTTCGAGCCTCACTCCACTTGTGTCTACGCACAGAAGTAGGCCCTTGCCTTACCTTGCCTTGCCTTGCCTTGCCCTGCCTTGAAATGGACTTTGGAACTGGATCAATCGAAATAATCCAGGCAACATAGGAGCCATTGACATGGCCAGTTGTTCGTTGTTCGTTGATACGCCCCGAGATATGTATAACCAAATTCAGTATCGTTTCCAAATTTCTATTGAAAGGAACTTCGGAAAATAGTTCCCACAATTTTTTTTTTCTGCTCCTGAACAAATACAACTAAAATCCATAACTTTAAATTCAACACACAACATAAATTAATTTTTGTTTCTAAATTTCGTTTTTAAGTTTTTTTGATTTTTCCGTACTTGCATCGTGCATTCTCTCATGTGCTTTCGACTCGCTTCAATTATGGCCAATAGACTGGAGGAGAGGGAGAGGGAGCGGGATGAGGAATTCCCTCCGCCCGCGCGACGCGTTCAGCTGCGTTGCGGCTCAGATGCCCCAGATGCTCCATCGGGTTCTACCACTACCACTGGCACTCAAACACTGTCCAAGGTACGTATTGCTCCCTGTCCATGGGTGGGACAAGTGGACTTTGAGCATCCTTGTATTGGGATATTTTGGGGACAACAACAATGAACATCTGCCCGCCCGCTTGCACACAGCTGTGGTGCCCGACTGCCCAGTGCGTGGACTTCCGCTACCTCAAGCAGGAGCTGCACACCGCCGAGGAGCAGCTGTTCTTCCTCAACGACCTGAAGAAGCAGTTCCGGTGCGTGCACTTTGATGTGGAAGTGCTGCAGGAGCATCTTGAGGCCCTGGAGCGGGCCGGCATTGACACGCTGAACTCTGTGCAGGAGTGCATACTGATACACAAGAGCAAGCATAACACCGCCGCCATCGCTGCCCAGGGTGACACGCAGGACAATGGCCGTGGACGGGTCGGCGGCGGGCCAGGATCATACATCGAATGGCCGCTGCACTCGCTGCCCAAACTGATGCCCAATCTGCGAGTTCTCAGCATCCACTGCAACATTCAGGTGCACTTCATTGAGCGCTTCACACAGCTGGAGCTGTTGTTCCTCAATGCCGGCATCTCGCAGGGCGCCATAACGGGCGTCTTCGAGCGCTGTCGCCAGCTGAGGAAACTGATCATGTTGGAGGAGTGCGACACGCCCCTGGATCTGAGCGGTGTGCTCAAGTGTCCCAACCTGTGCGTCATTTCGGTGCCCGTCAGCATATTTGCGAATCAGCGCGAACTGCTCGCCACCTTGCCCAATCAGGAATTCATTGAGTTGACCCACTGCGGTCGCAACAGTCGCCTGACTGTCGACTGCCTGCACACCATATTCGGCCTGAATGCCCGTCACATTGCGGGCATCCAAATGGACTGCAGCTTTCTGGAGAATGGTGCCCAGGGCCTGACGGGCATGGCCATGGGTCGTCTGAAGCGCGTCCTTAATATCCGGCTGATCAATTGTGACTTTCAGGACGCTGCCATTGACAGTCTCGATCTGCCGGATGTGCAGTGTTTTATTGTGCTGAACCGATGCCGCAATGTGACCAATAATCATGTGCTGGGCATGCTGGAGCAATGTCCGCGGCTGCGGCAGCTCTATGTCCTGGGCGGTCACCGGCTGACGGGCACTCTACTGCATGGCATCTGTCGCCTGCGCAGCGAGCACAATCCCGGCTATCCATTGAACCTCATAGTGACCAACTGCCAGACACTCCTCCAGAATTACAACTCATTGGTGAGTGTCCCACCCCCCACCCAGCCACCTTCTACAGAGATATCCCCCTCCCCCCGTACAGTACGCGGAATATTGGCAGAGCAAGCAGAACATTTTACAGGTTGAGTGCTACAACGGCGCCCAAAGCCTCACGACTGATGTCCAATTGTATTTGCGCGACACCCGGCCAGACCATGCCCAGCTGCCGCCACATGCTTCAATTGTTGACTGACTGACTAGTGCCCCCACGAGTGTCGCCAGCGAGAGCCCATAGATAATATTTTGGAGTTTCAAATAAAGTAAAGACAATGCCCGATGTCTGTCACAAACAAACACACACCAAACACACACACACCTGTGTCTTTTGCTTGTGCAATTTTCCATGATTTCTATTTTGGACAGAGGCTTTTCTTTGTCTCGCTATTCACTCTTTTAAGCCCAGCAAATCACTTAATTTGGCCCAGCCCAGCCCTGCTCAGCCCGCATTACACGTAAGTGAAATTTCATTTGCAGCCACAATTAGTGCCCCAGGGGCGGCACTGATGTGTCCCAGTCTCTGCCACATGGCATGCAAAATGCATTCAATTGAAGAATGAATGTAGTTTCAAGCGGAGAAAAGCTTTGGTTTATCTATGTTTAATTTGGAGATTAGAAGAACCCTCTCGTTCACTCCCATTCCCTGCCATCTTGGCTATTAATTGTTTCTGATCATTGGGAGTGCTTAATGCAGGCTTAGAAATGTCTCATCTTGCAGCGGACACTCTTGATTATTCGGACAGGGCACAGCTCACCTCACAGGTTAACTGAGTTATCACCTCAGAAAATTACAGCTGCTGCCTATAGACTCCTGTAAATTGTTTGAAATGGAGCAGCAATTCCATAGAAGGAGCTGTCAATATTTATCTCTCACAGCATTTTGGGTGCTGCATTTAAAGCCTTATAATACATGCAGGAATCCAACACAAAATCCTTAATATATAATTTAATATATATAATATAATATAAAATAAAATATAATAATGAACTTAGTAAATTTCTGGCCTGTTTTTCCAATTAAAAAACATAAGCCAAATCTGTTAGAGCTTTTAATATAATACATATATAATAAAAAGCCTGCATTAAACACTCCTAATTATCAGAAACAATTAATATAATATATATAATATATTTAAATATTTAATTTTAATTAAATTTTTAATTTAATTTTTAATTTATAATATATATATGTAAATATTCTGTGAATACATACATATATTCTTTATGTAAATTTTTCATAAAATTCGTTCCATTGAGCGCATTTACCATTAAACATTTACCATATTCCCTGCTGCATTTTCTTCATCTACCAAAGTTGAGTATATGCCCATTGCTATCTTTATTTACTGAATTTCTAGTTCAATAAATGATTCATTAGTTCTATAATTTCAACACATATTTATTTATTCCTTCTATTTAATCATTTCTACTGGCTATTCCCACAGCATTCCCAACGCACTCCCTTCAGTGTGCTGTGGCGCGGAGTTGGAGCTTCTTTTACAATTTGTGCTGTTCGGTAATAGTAATTAGAAAACGAAACACTTTTAGCTGCTGCTGCCAAACAATTGGCGAGCGCTGACAAGTCTTTTTTTTTTTTTTGTTTGTTCACCCATTCCCCATCGTTTTTCGTAAGCCTCTTTCTGCTGCCCCTTTTCGCGCGTATATTTCACTTTCTTCTGGCTTACGAATTGAAAAGTGAAATTCACATTAAAAATTCAATTCAATTCAATGCCCAAACGACGGCAAACAAAAAAATAAAGGCTGTGTGTGTGGGGCAGCAGGCAAACATTTAACATTTTATTTTGTTTTATTTTGTTTTGTTTGTTGGTAGAAAGAAATCCCTTTGCCGATTTCAAAACATTTATCTGAAAAGTCTGAAGTTTTTGTTTTACATGGGCTGCGGCTTGGCCTGGCGCACAAATGGCGGCTGACGAAAGTCGAAGGGGGAGCGACGAATGACCGGCAGGTCAGCCTGCGAGCGGGCGTCGCCTGATGTGGAGTTTGTGGAGTGTCGTCGTTGGCAGACGCCTTCGGTGTTCGAAGTGCGCTGTTGAGTCGACAAATTGTGCGACGAATCGCTGTCCGAATTGTTGTCCGAGCTGTGCTCAGAAATGGGCGATGCTGTGGTTGGTGTCGGTGTGCGCCATGTCCAAACCGCAGGATCAAAGACGGCCTCCTCCTGCTCTGGTTGCTGCTTGATCAGCTCTGGGCGACACGCAGCATCCCTCGGACCTATGTCCGGTTCGATCTGTTCGATTTCTGTGCGTATCTGTTGGATAGCCGCTTGCAGGGCATCCAGCACCTGTCCATCCGCCGTCCGTTCGATGGCATTGCGCAGCCGTTGCTTCTGCTCCGCTGTCAGCGCACAATCTGCGCTGCGCTTTATGTCATAGACATCGGCATTCTGTGGATTCGGTGTGATGCCAATCATGCCGAAACTTTCAAAGATCAAATTCACACAGCAGGTGTCCAGCGGTGTGCTGTCCCTGCGCCCCCTGGGCACCGGCATCAGCTCAATGGTGGATGAAGGACCAAGCGGTCCATCTCGGGCGATGATGCGAGCCGTCAGCGTAGTCACGGGCTGTGGCTGTGGAGCAGCCGGAAAACTCTTTTTGCTGTTCATTGGCATTCCTGTTGCGCTGGTCATGGTGCTGGCATCCTTGCTGCTGTTCTGTTTGAGCGTGCTCAGCCACAGCATGTCCTTCATGCGCACCCAATGTGGCAGCAGGGCCTGCGCCATGGCCGACTGTTGCTGCAACATGGCAAATGAAGGTTTCATCTGACAACGCCTTGTGGCCGCCAATCCCAATCCCAGTCCCAGTCCCAGTTCCTGTTTCTCTCTCTGTCTCGGACCCTGTTCCTGTTTCTGTCTCTGTCTCTGCTCCTGTTCCTGTCCATCTGTGAACATCTGTTGACTGTTGCTGCCACCATAATTACGCCAGTTATCGCTGCGTTTGGCTCTGGGCTGCTGCTGCCGCAATGCGTGGCGTGGCTCCCTTGGTGCAAAGTGATGGCGATTGCCCAGCGAGCCACCCGAGCCACGATACGGCTTGTTGCAGTTGCTTGTCTCCCCATAGTTGCGCCAGACATCGTCCTTACGATCGCCCATCATGCGGTGTCCATCGCGTTGGTTGTGTGCTGACGGCGACGAATGCTGCTGCTGTCTGTACATTTTGCCTTGACCTGGGGGCAGGCAGCAGTGGTATCCATTACTCCCTCCTTACGCGTATTGCACCCATAAAGCCTTTACCTAATTTACGCCTTTTTGTTTTGGGCTATTTTCCTAGCCGTAATCCCTTTTTTGCTGCTCTTTTTCAGCTTAAATTTTAATTGTTGCCCAATTTTTGGGCTGCTCTGATTAAATGCTTTCTTCGGAGTGAACTATTTTACTTTTTGACACTCCCGTTGACACTTTGACACACAGCACAGCACGACATACATTAGTATCGAACAGATGGGAATAGTTTGCTCGCAGCAAGCCGATATTTGGGGACGATAGCTGGGCGCATGCATCGAATCGAATCGAATTGAATCCTTCTTGGGCTTTGCAATCAGCTTTCGGCTTTCAGGGTTGTTGATCCCATCCGATTCGATCCAAAAAAAAAAAAAAAAAATTGCGCATATTTACGCAATTTTTTCCGCAGCAAGCACACCACCCCGCCCCGACCCCCCAACAATGGTGAATGCCGCAGAAAATGCGAAGATTTCCATATGCCATAAGACCATATAGCATACATATGTACATAATCATGTGTGTGTGTGTGTGTTTTTTTTTTTGTTTGGGGTCTCTTTTCATATTTGTGCTTCAGAGTTTTTTTTTTTTTGCTTCTTCTGTTTTTCCTATTGTTAGTGGCATCTCGGCACTGTAGCTGTTGCTGTTGCATTGTTCGGTGTGGTGTGTGGGTGGTGTGTGGCATGTGGATGGAAGCTGCAAATCGCAATTCACAATTCGAAATTTTACAATTGCAACCGGATATGGTCGCACAAATTCCGAAATCTCATTCCCAACCCCAAAAGCCAAAACTATGATTTCCATACATATTTTTCCACTCCCCTCCCCTACCTTCCCCTCCCTTTTACGCTTTTCCCTCTGCCCTGTGGATGTGTGGTACTTACAGTTTTATAGTTGCGGTTCTTCCTACTTTTCTTTCCGCACTTTCCGCACTTTACGTTTTCTCTGAGCGATCTCTGGGCGCTCGCGCTGGGCTCTCTGGGGGTTTTCCCCCTCTTCTTTGCCACTCACTGGAAGTGGCTGATGTGTCCTGCGGTTCAAACTGCAAGATAAAATGGTTGAAGATTTTATATTAGAGTATTTATAAAGATATTGCTGCTTTCAGCATTAATAAGGATATGGGCATTTAGAGCGGAACACTTTTGGGATGAATAAAGTAAAAAAAAAGAACAATAATAAAAAGAAAGTATAAATAAAAATACAATCAAAATAAAATGATTTTTTATATGACAAAAAATCCTAATTGCTGAATGAACTCCCTAATTAGCCCTAAAATATAATGCAACAAAATGGATTTTTTTTTGGGAACTTTGAATTAAAATAAATTATAATTAAAATTATGAATTATAAAAAAATGTTTACTATTATTAAAAATATCGAAATCAAATTACTGATTGCTGTTTTGTAATTGATCAATCGATTAGATTATTTAATTTTTTTTTTTTTTTTATTAGGCTTAGGTTGGGAGTCAATAAATAAAAAATAAAAATCTATTTTGTTTTTATTGGCTCTTAGTTGAATGAAAATACATTAACTGAGGCAATGATTGATTAAGAATTTCGTGCCTTGATTTTGGTTTTGATTTTACCCAAAAATTATTTATCGTTGATTTAAAATTGAATTTTAAACAATTTCGCATGGTAAGAATTATTGGGGCTTGGGGTTAAGAGAAGACAAATTAAAAATGTTCTATGGTTTATTTCTGATGGCTTAAAAAATAAATGACAGACAGAAGCTGGAGCTTGGAGTTTTTTTTTACGTTTTCTACGTCGCTGCTGAAGCCCTGTGAGATCTTTAGAACTTGAAACCGAAAAAAAAATGTTATTTTGGATGGGCAGGCAGGCACATGGCACGATGCTTGGTCTTGGCAGCTGCTTCGCTCCACTGCGTCTGCGGCTGCGGCTGGCTGAATCTGGCTTCTGGCCGCTTGAAAGATTCAGATTCAGATTCCCCTAGCCGCCCTGCCACCACCGAAAAAGATTCAGTTACAGCATTTGAGGGGCAGCGTCGTAGCTGCTGCTGCTGCCATGGGTTTTTGGTTTTAATCAAGTTCGGTTTCTGGCTACTGCCAGGGCTAGGGCTTTTTGGTTAATTATAAAATTATTATATGTACATAATTATGATTATAATTCACTGGGCTGAGTCGAGCGACGATTACGACGCTCGTATTTTTAATGCAGTTTGATCTCCGATCTGTCTGTCTGTCTGATCACTGACGCCTTGGGTTGGGTTTCTTATGCAACCTCACCAGAGGAGGGGAGGGGCAATTAATTGTAATTTGGTTCACAGAAAAAAAAAAATAGCGACAGAGAGAGAGAAAGAGAGAGAGGGATACGAGATATGAGAACGTGCTCGAGTGTAACGTGTGCCTTAGCAGAACTTCTCTTTATAGCCATATACATATAAATTATACCATATATGTACGTATATATGTACATATATAAATCACAAGATATTGAAGGCCGCACCCAATAATAATTGCTCGTAACGTAATGTTCGTGTTTTGCCCTTTTCACTGGCAAAGAAAGTGACAAACTTAAATATCTGTAACCGTGTTTTTTTTTTATTTTGCCCCGGCGCTTCTTGTTCTGTTTTGCTTATTTTTCTTTTCCATCCACATCTATGGTACGTGCCCCGTGTGGCAGAGTGGCCAGAGTGGGTTGGGTGTTGGGCCTATTGAGGTCAGCCGTGGGAGCTCACTGCCGATTAGCTCTGGCCCCAATTTCAATTCCAATTCCACTGCCCCGCGATGTTTGATAAGCTCAGCGCCACACCACCCGCAACCCAAAAAAAAAAACGTCATTGGTTGGCAGGAGTTGGGGGTGGGTTCTGATTATTTTGACCAGAACACGAAACTGGCAAATGCATTGACCGCATTACAAACAACTTTTGAAATGTATTTAATACTCACAAAAGGAATTTCTATTTTAGCCATTAAAATGTTAAGCAAGAAATTAAGTTCTTTAATAAAGCTAAAATAAAATAGCTTTTAAATATATGCATTTGACTTGTTTATTTATTTGATTCCAATTAGTTGGATTTTATTTTATATATATTGATGTTTTAATTTTATTTATATTAAGATCATTTTTGTATTATTTTTGAATTTTTCTTAATTTTTGTTATTTCTTATTTATATTCAGTAGTATTTTATTTACTTTTAAATTTTAGTTTTTTGTTAATGAATTTATTATTTGTTTTTTAATTTTAATTTTGTTAATGAATTTATTATTTGTTTTTAATTTTAATTTTGTTAATATTATTTATTATTTGTTTTTAATTTTAATTTTGTTGAATTAATTTCGCAATATTTCCCCATTTAATTGTTTTTCTCATTCCCACATATTTTGATTTACAATGCTGAAACGCACTGTTTTTGGACACTAAATATGTATAACAAAACATGTGAGTGATTTGCCAAATCAATTTTTTTTAGCTGACAAATGAAGTCATTAAGCAGCAGCAGACAGCAGCTCTCCCCTCTTGAGCTACAGCTTCAGCTTCCTCAACATTTTCTTCGACAATTTCCCATCGCTCGTTTCGGTTTGTCATCTTGTTTGCCCCATGGTCGAAAAACCCGCAACCAGAGAGAGAGAGATCCAACCAGAGACATCGCTGCAAGCGTTCGTTCAACTTGTTTGGCGCATTTGCAAAATACTTTGCGTCTGGCACGCCACATCCACACATCCACATCCGAGACCAAATTCAAATCCGAATCATCATCATCCATAATGATATGGCCAATATGGCCAAGGCATGGGGCTGGAGGAGTTGGGTGCCATCGGGGGGTGCTGCCAGTTAAATTAACTTAAAGCTCATGCTCTAAGCCTCAAGTTAAGCTTAAACTATGTGCAAATGATCACACGAAATAAAATAAAATAAAACAAAGCAAAAACATACGAAACTACGAATATTTGGTAAATTTTTAATAACCATAATTAAGTGTTTTAAACATGACAGGAAATTGCATAATTAGTTAGCTATTTGGTAGCCCCCCCCCCACCCTGTCTGTCCTATACCCTGCACCCCATTCCAGATCTCTTCCTCTTCATTATGCAAATACTTGTGCCCGAGACTGTCCCACTGCACAGAGTTCTACCATATAAGTACGAGTATTTGCCCATATATCACGTTCACATGGCAATGAGAACAAAAGACATTGACGTCAGAGAGTGGAGAAGCCAAAACCATGTAGAGCCCGAGCCCTAGCTATAGATTCTGTAGATTCCATTTGAATGCAGAAGAGCTGCCAGCTGGATATTCAGTGCAGCATTTCTCAGAGGGGGAATCATTTCCAGAGAATAATTTATGGCAGATGAAAGCACATCGAGTGAGGAAATTTACTATGCACAGAAGGAATAAAACTGAAATTATGGTGGCGAATTTGCTTGTCTATTTTTTGTGTCCATTCACTTATGGGAAATTTGTGCAGTGTATCAGCGTCATTCGAGGAATCATTGTGCCTGAAAAAGTGCATAAGTGGAATCAAAAAATATATTGAATATATTTATGCTTGTCCAATTATGTTGTAAGAGAGGCAGGAATTAATAAAAAAAATATATAAAAAATAAATAAAAAATAAAAATAAATAAAAATATAAACAGAACACCCTTTGGGCTGGCAATCTATCAAAAATTGATGGAGAATAGTGCTGGACTTGTGATTTTTGAAATTAAATCTAAGGCATTAAAGGTACAATCGTGCCTCACAAGAAATAAATAAATATAAATATAAAGTATGCCCAACATTAATCTAAGAATTAATTGATCATTTTGGGACTACTTTATACTATACATACATACATATGTATGTATGTACATACATATGTACATATGTACATATATGGAGAAACCCTATAGCCAGTATAGCGGAGTCAGCCGGTTCTAGTTATCGTGTGTTCCCTGTCAACATGCAGCTTTATTCGGCGCTTCTCTAGCTCTCAATTTGTCGCTTTGATCAAAAAGAAATGGATCAACAAATTGAGTTAAAGGGCGGAGCAAAGGAAACCAGAAAAACAAACCAAATAATAACAAAATAAAAGCAAACATAATGTGTCATTAAACAAATAATAATACAAGCAACAATTGCCAGCATACAGACTCGAATTAAGGGTCATCTTATTAGCAACATTTATTTTGTTTTTCATTATTATATATTAATTAATAAATATAGGTATATATGTCATATCTGCTATAGGGACAGAAATGTGCAGTAATATTTTTGAGAAATAAAAATTAAATTTAAATTTCCCAGGACCAGTGCCATTGTTGTCTGTTTATTGATGAATTTGTTTGATGGGAAAAGATACACATCCCAGAGTTATATACATTCAAATGATTATGGAAAAACCTTTCCATTTGCCATCGTTTTTTTGTTTTTTTTTTTTTGTTTTGGGGCAGACAATGGCTGCTGCGTATCCGCATCCCCACCGTCTAGGGTGGGTAGGGTGAGCAGGGGGGGGCCCCGTACACTTTTACTTTCGAGTTTTTTGGTTAATTGCACTACTTGGACAGCAGCAGCCAGCAGGCAGCAGCAGCAGGCGGCGTCACTTTCCCAAACACACAATAACAGAAGCAAAAAAAAAAAAATTAAAAACTAATAATAACAATATAATAATCGCATTTTTCTTTTGAATAGCACACACAGCATACACCACTCGTCGTGAGTGTATTCACTCCTTTTGTGAGTGAAATTCAATTGGCTACTGTGTTGTGTGCAGGGGGGGGGTGACATAATGGCTGGGGAGTGGGCCGCCCTGCAGAGTGTCCGGCTTCCCTCTCCCTCTCTGCTCTGCTCTGCTCTCTGGCTGTATGCACGGCGGCTCCTTGTAATTAATTATTGTACAATTAATTGTGTGATTAATCAATTTGCCATCTCATGTGGTGTGGGGAATCATAATGCGTTACATGATAATAAACAGAGATAATTGGTGGGGGGCATGGAATGGAAGACCAACACACAACGAAGAAGCATCAGGCAGCAGCAGCAGCAGCAGCAGCAACAGCCACCCGTTCATTAGATGATAGATAAATATCGTATCGC